GACTAGGCACTGCAGGGCCTTCTGCCCCTTCCGTCATGTCAGCTAGGCAGTGTCTGGGTGGGAGGCCCTGACAAGCAGAATGGGCTACACTAGTGCCCAGTTCCTGGCCTGGAAGGGAGCCAGGGTGGAGACAGTGGACAGAACTCAGGCATCACTGCCTGCCTGTGACTTCATTCTGCTTCCCCAAGGCCTTGCCCTGACCCATGTCCTGGAGCAGAACCTGCGGCCAGCGGCTGGACCTCGTGCAGAGGCAGTGAAGGTAGTGATCCTGGTGACAGATGGCAAGTCCCAGGATGATGCTCGTGCTGCTGCCCGTGTCCTCAGGGACCTGGGAGCTGATGTCTTTGCAGTTGGTGAGCTCCAAGCAGTTACTACAGCAGAAGTGGAAGTTCTGGCTTGTATGAGGGACTGGGCTGTTTAGGGGCCAGCATATTGTGTATATGCTTTGCAGTGGCCTCTCCCCTCACCCTGGTGACTTTGACAAGGGGTGCAGTTTGTGGGAGGGCCAGTGATCACAGAGGCTCCAGTGAGCAGCATCTTTACGCTCCGTGTCACTTGGTCTTCCCAGGGGTGAAGAATGCAGATGAGGCTGAGCTGAGACTTTTGGCATCAGATCCGCTGGACCTCACCGTCCACAACGTGCTGGACTTCCCTCAGCTCAACACATTGGCTGGCCTGCTCAGTCGCCTCATCTGCCAGTGGGTCCAGGGCAGAGGCCCGCTGAGGGATCGAGGTGAGGCCAGGGTGGCATACTGACTGGAGCCCTTGGCCAAATGAGCTGCCTGGAGGGCCCTGCAGCCCTCATGTGGGGGACAGCTGTTAGTAGATGAGCCCTGTCCTCTTGGATGTGGTCCTGGGAGCAGCAGGAGGAGCCATTGATCCTGACAGCCCTCCTCATACCTCTCCCTGCCCAGTCACAGCAACAGCGGCTGCTCTAGCCCTGGACCCACTCCCTGCCCCTACTGGCCTGGTCCTGACTCCAATGACTTCCTCCAGCATCTTCCTGTCCTGGACTCCAGCCCCACAACCACCACTCAAGTACCTGATCATGTGGCACCCTTCCAGAGGTGGTGCCCCCAGGGAGGTGAGAGGTTTCTCAGCTCCTACTGTGCTAAATGGGGCAGGTGGGGTTTGAGTGTCCTAGTCTGTGTTGCTGAACTGGATGGGGGTTTGAGGTTGCTAATTTTGAATACTGGGAGACTGGTGGATGGATGATGAAGGCTTGCTGGATGATGAGTAGATGATGAATGGATGAATTGATTGCAGGGTGGCTGGACAGATAATTGCCAAATGGAGGGGTGATGGGTAGGTGATTAATGGACAAATAAGGGGAACATGGATGGATGATGGATGGATGATGAGTGATTGATAGATGGATGGTGGATAATGGATGAAGGCTGGATGGGTGATTGCTGGATAGATGGATGATTGATGGCAGATGAATGATGAGTGGATGAAGGATGGATGGATGGAGGTGGGTAGATGATGGATGGATGAATGATTTCTGGGTGACTGGATGGGTAAATGGGTAATTACTGGATAGATGGATGATGGCTAGATGATAGATGATAGATGATAGATAGATAGATAGATAGATAGATAGATAGATAGATAGATGATGGATGGGTGCATGCTGGCTGACTGATTCCTGAATAGATGAGTGGTGGATAGATGATGGATGGATAATTAATGGATGACAGATGAGTGATGGTAATGGATGGATGGATGGATGGATGGATGGATGGATGGATGGATGATAGATGGAGGAAGGATGGGTGATTGCTGGACAGATGGATGGATGATAGATAGATGACGGATGATTGCTGACTGACTAGTGGATGATTGACAGATGGATTGATGATGAATGACTGGTAGGTAGATGATGGGTAGATGAATAGATGATAGATATATACATGATGGGTAGATAGATTGATGGGTTATGGATGAATGATGGACCGACAAATGATTGATGGTGTTCACATTTTCTTTCTTTTTCTTTTTTTTTTTATTTTTGTGTGAGTGTACCATCAAATTAGATCTGACTGGTACAGGAGGAGATTGTCCCTCCTTTCCCGGCAGAGCATCTGGTGGATTCGAACCGTGAGCCTCTGGCATTGTAGTTGCAGCTCCTTGCCACTAGACCACCAGAGCTCCCCCTGGTGTTCACATTTTCTAAAACCATATACTACATAAATAGATGACCTCTACCAATCACATTTAGCCACAGACTGGTAGGTGATGCTGAATGATGGATGGATGGATAAATGATGAATGGATGTTGATGGACTGATGGTGGATCATTTCTCATTGCACTGCCTTTGGCTGAGTAAAGTGAGAATTCTAAGCACAGTTCCCTGAGTTTTCCACTCTGCATTCAGGCCACCTGTGTCTCCTTTTGTTCCAGGTGGTGGTGGAGGCACCCACCTCATCTTTGGAGCTACGAAATCTGACCTCCAGCACCGAGTATCTGGTCTCTGTACTTCCTGTTTATGCAGATGGTGTTGGCGAGGGTCTCCGGGGCCTGGCCACCACATGTAGGTGAAAATGGGCTGGGGCTCAGGACAGGAAAGGCTTTGCCCACTCTGGCCTCCCCTCAGAGCTGACACCAGCATTTTGGAGCCATGTCCAGTCTCGCAGTTCACTATATGACCAAGGCAAACTCACTAGGCTTCTCTGATCCTCAGTGTCCCCTGCTGAACAATGAAGATAAGAGTTGTGGTTTTACCACAAACACTGCTATTACTGATCGCTGTTCCTGTTAGCACCAGTTACAGGGCTTGTCCTTTCTGCAGCACCTGGGCTCTCCTCTCCGTTCTCCGGCAGCCCCCTGGTGCTGTTGTGAGTCTCTCACTCCTGTAACAGCCTTCGTAAGATCTAACCACACATGTGTGAGCCCTTGGTGTTTGCAGTATGCAGTTCTCAGCCTTCAGCGTACTAGCAGGGCTATGTGGCTGTCACTGCAGGCAACTTCACAACATCTCTTCACCCAAAACAAGCCCCTCCCCAGGCCCCAGCTCTAGGCAGCCATTGCTGTGCTCTGCTCTGGACACCTCAGGGTGGATTCCAGTCCTCAGGGCCTTTCTAACGAGAGAGCTGAGGCAGCTTCCAGCCCCCACCCCCAGACACATGGCAAGGATTTCCCTGCTTCCCGTCCTCTGAGCTGTGAGTGGACTCAGAGTGCCCCCTCCAGTCTGTCCTGGCTGTCATTTCACAGAGGATACTGAGTCTTTTCTGATTGCTGCCTCTCTCTTCCCCTAGTACCCCTGTCCCCACCCCATGTGTTGACCCTGGCCACGGTGACTCCCCAGACCATCCACCTCACTTGGCAGCCTGTGCCTGAGGCTACCCAGTACCTGGTGCGATGTTTGCCCATGCCTCCCAAGGGCAAAGAGGAGACAGAGGTACACTGAGGCAGCGAGGGAGGTGGGCAGAGGGGGGTGGGCTGAGCAGGGAGCTCACCTGTCCTCCTGCCTTCCAGCTGAGGGTGGGGCAGCCAGAGGTGCTGCTGAGTGGTCTGCAGCCTGGCCGCTACTATACCATCTCCGTGCAGAGCCTGCGTGGGTTGGAGGCCAGCAAGGCTCAGAGTGTGCAGGCCAGGACCTGTGAGTGCAGGGGTGCCCATCCTGGAAGTCACCCTCTGTGTGCCTGGGGCAGGGTCTGAGCTGTGGTGTTCTCTGCAGCCCTGCCCCCTCCAGCACACCTGGACTTTGAGAACGTGTCCCACGACTCAGCCCGAGTGCTCTGGGATGGTCCCCTTCAGCCTGGGAGCCTCTGCAGAGCCTCCTACACTTCTAGTCAGGGTGGACACTCTGGGCAGGTGAGGACAGGCCCAGCACCCATGGAGGGTCATGAGGGAGCCAGCACTCGTGGGAGAGTTGCATCTGCAGGGAGCCTGGGGCCTGGGTGCTTGAGGCCCGGCACCCACAGGGTGGGGACAGTACTCTGCTGCTCACGGAGTCTCACTTCCAAGCACCTCCTGGATTTGGCAGATGGGCTGAAGGCAGAGCAGGATAGGCAGCTTATCTGAGGCCAGAGATCTGGTGGTCAGGGGGATAGGGAAGAGGTGATGCAGACAGTGGATAGACAGGCTGGATGTACATGCACATTTCTGGACAAGGTGGGAGACTGGCTCTGGGAGTGGTCAGAACTGTGTGCCCAGCTGGCCCAGCCCCTGCCACCAGGTGCCTCCAGTTGTGGGAGAGGAGTCTGACGGCCAGTGGCCTCCCTACAGCCATTCTCTTGGGTTGGAAAAGTTGCTGAGGCGCTGGCACCTCAGGAGCCCCCCACTCTGGTCCCCCTCCAGGTAGAGGCTGCTCAGAACACCTCCTCAGCCACCCTGGGTCCACTCTCCTCAGCCACCACCTATACCGTCTCTGTCACCTGTTTCTACTCCGGGGGCAGCTCTTCCACACTGACCGGCCAAGTGACCACTCGTGAGTGGGTGTGTGGGACAGGGTCACAAGCAGATGGCTTGGGGACGGGTTTGGAGCAGTGGGGACCTGGGGGCGAGGCTAGGAAGCAGGAGGATGGGGCTTGGGCGTGGGGGAGGGGCCAGGGTGCAGCCGGTGGGGATGGGGCTGGGGGGAGTCAGAGGCGACAGTGTGCTGGCAGTGTGGGGGAGGGAGGGTGCTGGGGGGTGTTGGGGAGTCTCCTTTAGTTCACTGGGCAGTGCCTCTGAGCCAGTGGGTCCAGGCACCTGGACTGCTAAGAATAGCAGAGACCGTGGGCTGCAGGTTACCTGAGCAGAGGGCAGGGAACATGGGACAAGGAGGGGCGAGTCGCCAAGGACGTGTGACTGACCTTCAGTGGGTACAGGGCCAACTTGCAGCCTGGTTGGCCATGGGCTGCAGAGCTGTGAGCTCTGTGGTTCAGTTTCCCTATGGATAAGATGGGGCTACTGACAGCTCCAAGGTCAAGTTAAAGCAGGGTTGGGAGGGGTGGTGAGGACAGGAGGGCTGATAAAACCAGTGAGCTGTAATTAGCGTTCAAGCCCCTGCTGGCTGGAGGGTGCTAAGTAGTCAGGAGCTGGGGGTTCCCAGGCTGTGCATCTTTATGAAGATGGGGGTATGGAAGTGCGGAGGGGGTTCGGGACACAAAGACTGTCCATCTTCTCCCATGGAGCAGCTGGTGGTTCCAACCTCCACCCTTGGTCACAGTCCCTTTGTCATGCACTATGCACCTGGGCTCCCTGATTAACACTTAGCTGGCTAATTACACAGTTGGGCCATCTAATTAATGTCATTTATTGGATGGGGTGTGAAGTGCTCAGCATGGCTCTTATGAACTTTGGGATGGGGCTGTTTCTGTGGTGGGCACTGCCCCTACAGTTCAGAGCCTGGCTGTGAAGAGGCCACGTCCATCCGGACCTTGATCCACGCCAGGACTCCAGTTCTAAGTGTCCCCCACCCAATGTTGCCTGCTGTCTTCCAGGGAAGGTCCCCAGCCCGAGCCAGCTGGTGGTGACTGAGATGCCTGACAATGCAGTCCAGCTGCAGTGGGCGGCTGCATCCGGCGTGCTGGTCTACCAGATCAAGTGGACTCCCCTGGGCGATGGGAAGGCCCGCGAGGTGAGGAGTGGGTAGAGGTGGATCTCAGCGAACCCTCCTGGAGAGAGCCCTCACCCCTCACGTTCCCCTGAAAGTGAGCCCAGACCCCTCATGCAAGGGGCCCAAACGTGAGCCCCCACCTGCCGTGCTGGGGCCCGAACATGAGCTCCTAACCCCACGTACCAGGGAACTGAGTGTGAGGTGCCATCCCGGCTCCTTCCCCACATGGCTCGGCACCTACACGCCTCCCTGGAGCCTGGTCCTGCTCTCTTCAGCTCTCTGTGCCAGGGAACTTGCGCTCAGCAGTCCTGCCCGGCTTGAGGAGGACGGCAGACTATGACATCACCATCCTGGCCTACTACCGGGACGGGGCCCGCAGTGATCCTGTGTCCCTCCGATACACCCCAGGTAGGTGACCCTCAGCCAGAGGCCCCCACAGCAGGAAGAGCCCAAAGGAGCCACACACACACACACACACACACACACACACACACACCCAGCTCTAGAGCTCAGGGTCCTGAACCTTAGAACTGCTGACCTGCACATGTAGCCGGTCCGGTTCCCCAGTCCTGTCCCTCACCACTTGGTCTTTGGGGTCTCCCCAGGCTTGCTAAGGTCATGTTTCTGGTGGTGGGAGGAGTATCAGCCCAAGACTCCCAGTGTTAGCAGTGTCCCAGATGAGGGTCCTTAGAGCTGACCCCAGACCATGGTGGACCTTTTGGCCAAGACTACCTAGTATGGGGTGACAGTATAAGGGCACAACAGGGACACATGGGGTGGGAGATAAGGCTTGGGGCAGTGGGGACAGAGATGGCATGAGGCAGAGACTGGGCCTGGGCAGGAGGTCAGACACAGGATGTGGAGTGGGATCTTGGTTTGGGGCAGTGGGCAGAAACAGGACATAGGGTGGAGACTGGGCTTGGGATAGGTGTGGGGATGGAGCATAGACCTGGGGCCTTGTCACCCTCATGCCTTCCTGAGCATAGCTTGTCCCCTGAGCAGTAAACAGGAGCCCCCCCTCCCACCTGGTTTTGGTGTCAGAGATGCCTAACAGCCTGGAGGTCAGCTGGACACCACCCCACGGCCAGGTCCTCCACTACCGGCTCAGTTACGCGCTGGCCTCTGGCTCAGGACCTGAGAAGTTGGTGGGTTGCTTCGCAGGGATCCTGTCTGTGCAATTGCATAGGGGGAGGGAGACGGGGGAGGGGGGCAGCCTAAGTGACCTGTGACCTTGTGGGGTCAGATCTCTGTCCCAGGCCCCAGGAGCCATGTGACTCTCTATGACCTGCTGGCGACCACCAAATACAGGGTCCTGGTGTCAGCCATCTACGAGGCTGGGGAGAGCGTATATGTGTCAGCCACGGGCTGGACAGGTGAGGCTTCTCACCAGGGCGAGTGGAGCCCTCACCTGACCTTCCTCCTGCGCCTCAGTGCTGACCCTCAAGGAGAGGAGAGGCCATGGGTGCGGCCAGACCCTTGGGGCCGAGAGAGAGACTGAGCTTGGTCAGTAGTGGCTCGGTAGCCTGTGGCAGAGGTTGGGATGGGCACATGACACTGTTGAAATGCCCTGGCTTCCTCGGGCCACTTACGTTTTGGCTTGTCATCAGGGTAGGGTTGGAGTGACCAGGGACAGTGGCTTGTCAGCTCCTTCCTGTGCCTGAGTGGCAGCCTGGGGTTTCCTTGTTCCACTGTCTGGTGGAGTGTAAGCAGACCATGGGAGCCCCATCTGGGCGAGGGAACCCTGAAGCCACAGGATATCCCTTCCCCTTTCCTGCCCCTGAGGTGTGAGGACCACGCGGGTCTTTGGGTGGGTAGGCAGGTAGAAGACCCTCCAGGGACAGAGGCTGGGACAGGCATTGCCCACAGGCCATGCTGACCCCTGATCTCTGCCCTCAGCCGCCTGTCCCACACTGCGCACCAATGGCTCCCTCTCAGGTAGGTTCCCTTAGGGCTCCCCAGGGACCACCCTGGATGGTGGGCAGGGATGGGCAGGACTTAGGGGACACTACAAGAGGGATTGACATTTTGGCAGAGATTCCTAGACCTGAGTCTCAGGAGCAGAAACTGAGGTGAGGGACTTGTTCCTGGGTGTGTGTGACTGAGCAGGGGTTCTGCTGCGACATACCTCCCTCCCTGAGCTGACCGCAGGGGTGCCCAGCCTGGGAGCCACCAACCGCCCCCTCCCCCAGTAGAGGGACAGATGGTGGTGGAGGAACCTAGCTAGGTGTGCTAGGTCGGCAGAGGTGGAGCTCTGAGAACCCTCTTCCCAGCCCTCTGCTGCTGGCAGTGAAGGAAGTGCCGAGTAAATGAGCTTGCTCTAACCTGTGTCCTCCATGCTGGGTGGGTAGGTGGTGGACGCTGCTGGACATGGTGGGGGATTGAGGGGCGGCCTGGGTGGGCAGGTTGTGGACACGGCTGGAGGAGGGTGAGGGTGGGTGGGCAACTGAGGAGTGGCCTAGTGGTGTTGCAGTGCTGGAGAGGTGGTCCCTGGAGGAGAAAAAGTCACCTCACAGAGTTAGCAGGGTCGGGGGGGGGGGGGCCAGCTGCAGCTGCATGTTGGAGTGGAGGATTAGAGGACCGGAAGTGGACCCACCAGGCTGGGGTGGTGTGGGGCTCCTGGACCGATGGGAGAGGCTCTGGATACTTGAGGGGCAGGACAGCTCCAGTCTCACCCAGCCCTCAACAAGGACAGGACACAGACTCTCCCTAGTCTTCTAAGATCCTCTGTCCAGGCTCCCCTCTGCCCCACGTCCCTGCCCTTGCTCTGGGCATGTGTCTCTCTTTCTCTGGATCTCTCTGTCTCTGATGCTCCTCCTCGATGCTCTGTCTCCCCCCACTGCTGCACTCCTCGCCCCTCTGACTGACTCGCTTTCTCCTGTGGCCCTCCCTGTACCCCTCCCTCCAGGATTTGACCTCATGGCCGCCTTTGGCTTGGTAGAGAAGGAATATGCTTCCCTCCGAGGAGTGGCAATGGAGCCATCTGCTCTTGGTGGAGGCAAGACCTTCACTCTCCTCAGGGATGCCCAGCTGATGCTCCGGGTCAGGTGAGGGGCAGCATGTGGGGGGAGGGCGCCTGGGGAAGCTGCTGCCATGACCACGAGTCCCCCAACCCTGAACCCGAGAGCAGTGGACTTAATGAAACCACGAGTGGGAGGGGAGGGGAGGGAGGGAGGAGATCCCCTTGAGAGACTTCAGCCTCTTGTGGGGTCTTCCCACAAAGGCAACTCCAAAGGGCCCCAGAGTTTAGTTTTGTGAGAAATTTTGCTTCTTACTCCATGTTGAAGGACGTTAGCTTTTATTTTAATTGTGATTTTAATGAAAGTTTACAGAAAAGTTGGATTTTCATTCATTCACTGTTGCACATTTTCCTCCCTCCGCTTTCCTTCCCCCTTCCCCAGGTCACTTTAAAAAAAAATCACTCACTGTTGTATAATTTCCTCCCTCCCTCCAACCCTAATCCACTTTGCTATGCACCTCTTATAATGGATTGTCATCATACAAATAATGCCTAATCATTTATTCCTTTCAGACAGTTCTTTCCTTCATCTATTCCAAAGCAATATTCATTATCTGTCCCCTTTTTTCCTAGTTTCTCCCCAGCCCTCCATGTCAGTCCTGTTTTATAATATTGGTGTTCTGCAGTATTTGTCCTTTTGTGACTGAGGTATTTCACTCAGAATAATGTCCTCCAGTGCCACCCATATTGTGCCGTGCTTTATGAGTTCCTTGTTTTCCAGTGCTGCATAGTATTCCATTGTGTGAATACACCATAGTGGTTGGTTGGGTTTTGGGTTTTTTTTTTAATGGCTCTTTTCAGTTCATTGCATAAAGGAGTTACACTAGTCCAAGTTAAAAGCGGACTCCAAATGGTTACCGTATACAAGCTGTGAGGTGTTAAACTTGTGAGCAGGGACAGAAGGGACATTTTCTTCTTCTTTTTTTTAAAATTAATTTTAATGAAAGTTTACAGAGACTTAGGGTTTCCATTCATTCATTGTTGCACTTTTCTCCCTGCCAATTCACTCTTCTCTTTGAAAAGTAAAAGAAAAATTTTTTCATTCTTACACAGTCCCTCCCCCCAAGTCCACTTCACTGTGCAGCTTTCATTCTGGACTCCTCCCTAATCATATATATCCCTTTTAAACAGGTCTCTCCCAAAAGGAACATTTTCTACTCATTGCAAGAAAATCTTCACTTAAGCCATAAGCACTCAAACCCCATGACCCTTCAGCTGGCTGTCCTCAGCCAGTCCAGTGTCTACAAGGAACTGGCCGATGTTCTCATGCTGGTCACCTTGTAGCTGCATTACTTCTGCATATTCTGGACGCTTAATCACAGGACCTCTGCAGGCAAATTTCATCTTAAATGCCTTCACTAGTGTCTTTTTATGGTCATCAGCGATCCCTAGGACAGTTGTGTCTTCTTGGCGGTCCTCTGGTGAATTTTTATGTGGATATAATCCTCGGTCCCAGCAGGAGGCAGGTCATCACCCTGACTTGCATCAGCAAAGGGGTCAAAAAAGTGGAGGTTCTGAATAGTGGACATACGCTACGATTCCTTTTCCTCAGTGGAAACGACCTGCGGAAGGCCGCGGCCGGAGAAAGCAGGCAGGGGGTACCGAGGGGGCCTGAGGGGGAGGCTGTGAGTCCTCAACAGTGGCTCAGTGACTGGGTACACCATAGTTTTTCTATTCATTAATTTGTTGATGGGCACTTGGGTTGTTTCCATCTCTTTGCTATTACGAATAGCACAGCAGTAAACATGAGTATGCATACATCTGTTTAGGGAACTGCTGGGTCAAATGTTATTTCTATTTCTAACTTTTTGAGAAAGTGCTGACCGCCTCCCATTTTACACTCCCACCAGGACTGAGTAAGGGTTCCAGTCATTCCACAATCTTGACAACATTAGTTGTTTGCTGCTATTGCTGGGGTGAGATCATATCTCAGAGTTGTTTTGAGTTGAAGGAATTCTGAATAGTGCAGTTAGCAAATTTGAATGCTAACTGAAAGGTTGGAGGTTCAAGCTCACTCAAACCACTGCAGAAGAAATGCGCGGGGATTCGCCTGTGGCCAGTTCTGCTTGGACTAGGGCTCAGGCCTCAAGCCTCAGAGTCTACCAAAGAGCAGGGGGTGCAGTACCTGGTCTCTTTCTGTCCATATGATGAGGGACATGTGCACATTCCCCAAGGAGGACTCCTGGAGGCTTCTCCTGGGGGCCCTAGGAGCAGATATCAGAACTTCCTGCAAATGGTCCCAGTTAGCTTCGTCCAGGATCATTGTGGACGTAGAGTGGGGACCACCTGGGCGGTCTGTCCTGTCAGCCTCAGGGGAAGTTGACACCATGTGCTGGCCGGCATTTGCAAGCACCTACCCAGGCTGCTTTGTGTTTCTTTCTCTTTTTAAATAAAATTTTTCTTTTATACTGGTTTACTTATAAAGTTTATATACTATGTTTTTCACACCAGATTTTCCCCACTTTCTTTACCCACCTCTCCTTCTACCCATCAAATTGTGCAACCCCATGATTACGCCCCTCCCTGCCCATCCTTATACCTCTGCTCCTACCCTCGCCCTCTTGGATCCTCATACATGTTTTATTAGTTCTCTTTCTATTTCTGCAATAACAGTCTTATACAGTATTTGTCATTTTGAGATTGAGTTAGTTCACTTAGCGCAATGTTCTCCAGTCCCTCCCAAGTTAGGGAGCTAGTGTCACAATCATTGCTCCTGCATGCTGCATAGTATTCCATCATGTGAGTGTACCATAATTTCTCAGTCCTCTGTGTTTCTGACAGGGATCCCCACTGCGCAGTGGCTGTGACCCCACCGCAGGTCCTCCCACCAGACTTTGGGGAGCTCATGGCCACACCTGGTCCTTCCTGGGGAAGGTGTGGTCTGCTCACACTCTGCATAGTGCCCCCTTCACACGGGACAGTGCCTCCGACCCTGCACAGTGACTCCCTGCTTACACCCTGCTGGACAGTGCTCTGTCACTCATAGACTGGATGGTGTCCTCCCTCAGAGCCTCAGCCACCACCCTGCACGGTCTGACCCCTCCTTTCCCTGCACCGTCCTCCCCGACAGTGACATCCATCCGGCTGCCCTGCCTCCTGAGCACACCATTGTCTTCCTCCTGCGCTTGCTGCCTGAGACACCTCGGGAACCTTTCACGCTGTGGCAGATCCTGACGGAGGACTTTCAGCCTGCCATGGGCATCCTGCTGGATGGTGACCAGGCGCCCTCAAACCGTTTGGGAGGGTTAGGCAGGGCTTCATGTCACCCACATGCCTCCCCTACATTCAGGGCTCTGAAATTGCCTCCTAAACCACATGGGGCCCTGGTGTGTGCCTCCAGTTCTACCTCCTCACCCATCATGAGACATCCACCCACTGCACCCTCCTTCCTCACTCCTCAGCCCTGTGTATCATGGGGCACCCACCCATCTGTAGCCCACTCCGCCCAGCCCCCTGCAGAGCTCTGTCCATCAGGAAGCCTCCACCAGTCTGTTTTCTTCATCCCAGTGTTCTCAGTGCCCTACACTTCCTTCTCTGGGTGCCTCCAGTGGTCTTCACACTCCTAACCTCCACCTTGCCGCCCCCTTCCCCCCCCACTCCCCACAGTGACCCTCACAACTTTCATCTTTTTAAATTTCTTGGTTTGCATATAATCATTCCTATCCCACCCCCTGCAGCTGGCCGGAAGTCCCTGACCTACTTCAACCAGGACCCCAGGGCTGCCCAGCAGGGGGTCACCTTCGACCTGCCAGACATGAAGAAGATATTCTTTGGGAGTTTCCACAAGGTCCTGGAGAACCTGGAGCACATATCTTCCCTCCAGGCCTGTCTGACCCTAAGCTCTGAGTAGGGGCCCTGCCCTCATGACAGGCTCTTCGGGGTGACAAAAGGCTGTGGCCTCTGCCCTTTCTGCTCAGGAGATGATCCTGCCAGCCCCCAGCCTCTACCACTCTGGTCTGCTCAGGGTCCAGGACCTGCCTTCTTCCACGCAGTTGGCACCTGGAGGGTGTCTTTGGTCTCTTTTATGGGAGGGGACACAGATTGTGAGGTGACATTTCCCATCAGACTCAGGCCTTCAGAACCTTGGGCCTGTGGGCATGGACAGGTGTTCTTGGCCAGCAGCTCCCCGCCCTGCCCCAGCCTGCACACACATCGAGGGTCTCTACAGGTGCACCTGGCTGTGGGCCCCTCCAGAGTCCGCCTGTACGTGGACTGCCGGAAGGTTGCTGAGAGGCCCTTGGGGGAAGTGGCCAGCCCGCCTGCCACTGGCTTCATCACCCTGGGGAGACTGGCCAAGGCCAGGGGCCCCCGGAGCAGCTCAGCTGTGGTGAGTCTGCGGGGTGAGGGGCTGGAGGGGGCTGTCTGTCTGTCCAGCTGATGCTGAGCACACCCTGAAGTTCCAGCTCCAGAGCCTCCAGATCGTCTGCAGTGACTCCCTGGCAGAGGAGGACAGGTGCTGTGACCTGCCTGCTCTGGTGAGCATCTTCTGAGTGTCCCCCTGCCCTGCTGAGCACCCACTGAGGGGGTGAGGCCAGGGACTGGTGTGTGGGGGAGAACACCTCAGTGCTGGAGGGATCAGGGCAGGCTTCCTGGAGAAGGGGGTCCAGCGGCTGCAGGGACACCCTCAGCCAACAACTGCATTGCTGGGGACTAACTACTGTCCCCTCTTAAGGGCTGGGACCTCTCTGACTTCTGTCCCCTCTTCAGGACAGGCCTGGGCTCTCACTGAAGACTATCCACCATGAGGGACTCAGTGGGGGTAGGGCTGAGCAGGGGTGAGAGAGGGAGAGATCATGTTTCATCAGAATCCTGACCCACCCCAGCTTACCACCCCCCGACCCCGTTCTTCTGAATTCCCCTGGAATCTCAGCATCTGGGAGTCAGGGTTGGGGGCATATTCTGAGGAGCTCTTCCTTTCAGAGGGACATCAACACCTGTCCTGTTGCCCCTTCTGCCTGCTCCTGCTCTTCAGAGACCTCTGGCCTCCCTGGCCCCCAAGGACCTCCGGTGAGTCTGTAGTCTCTCCCCTAGGGGACTGAAGCTTCTGATTGACAGCAAGTCCCCTCCCCCACAATTGGCCATTAGCTCTGACCCTCCTGCTGCTCCTGTGTGCCTGCTGGCCTGTCCACCTCCACCTCTCAGCCCCATGAGGTCCCCCACAATTGGCCATTAGCTCTGACCCTCCTGCTGCTCCTGTGTGCCTGCTGGCCTGTCCACCTCCACCTCTCAGCCCCATGAGGCTATAACCCAGCAGATCACTCCATTCATGCTCAGCTGGCCACCCTCCACTGAGAAAGGAACACTGCCTGCCCCCCAGCCCTGACCACCCCCGTCCTGGACACAGCTCAGATTATCTCTGTGATGAATGTTTGAATGGTGATCTGGGCTCAGGGGGCCTGCAGGAGGCCTGTGCTGGTGGTGGCCAGTGAGTGTGACATGACTTGTGATGCTCTCTGGGTGTTCATCTGGGCAGGTGCTGCAGGCCCTGAGCAAGCCCAGGGCAGCTCTCCAAGGTCCTGAAGCAGGAGCTAGGAGGGATCTGATTCTAGCCCTGCTTGGACCTGAGATCTGAGCTCCTGATCGTCCACTGGTAGAGGAGGAGGGCAGATAGATCCTTGCCCTGGAATCCCCTTCTCCCCAGCCAGCACCATGCACAGGAGCCAGGGCAAGGTGGGGGGGGGGTGTCCCAGGGCAGTGCAGTACTTGGGGTTCTCGGGGTGGGTCGTGGTCAGCCTGCTGTGTCTTCACAGGGACTTCCTGGGAGGAAGGGTGCTCCTGGAGAGCCAGGCTTCCCAGGGCCTCAGGTAAATGTTGGCCTCTCAGGGAGCCCTGGGTGGCTGGAGCTTGGGTCTTACTTTCAGGGGAGGACCTCTAGTATGTTCAGAAGAATGTTGGGAGTGAGAATGTGGGGAATGAGGATGACCACTTCTAAGCAGTGGTGTAGTCTCTGTTCCACATGAAGGAGGCCTAGCTACTGAGCATTTGGGGCTTCAGGGCAGGTCTGTGGAGGGGTGGAGGGGCAGTTTCTGCAGAGAGAGGAAGTCACGGACAGTGGTGACTGTCTCACTCCAGCTCTAGCTGTCTCTGGCCAGTGTTGTTTTAGACTATGCTTAATAGAAAAAAATAATCCAAAACAGCCACAAAGAGACACCAGGTAGGTGACACAGAGTGCAGAGACCCAGTGGGCACATCCATCCTGCCAGGCCCCACCCCCTCCTCCTGGTAAGGTGGCCTACGCTTCATCCCTAGGTCCCTTCTAGAATGTTCTCTGCACTCACAGGAGGCTCGCCTGCTTTCCCCTGCACTTGTTAACTTTACCCAAAGATGGCTCTCATAGCCTCCCTCATCCCCTAGGCTCGGCCTTCATGGATGTGGATGTGTGGCATGGAGGTGAAGGTGTGATGTGGAAGTGACGATGTGGCATAGAGGTGATGGTGTCATATGAAGGTGACTGTGGTGTGGAGGTGATGGTGTGATATGGAGGTAAAGGTGTGTCTTGGAGGTGATGGTGTGGCATGGATGTGACTGCTTTGTAGAGGTAAAGGTGTGGTGTGAAGGTAATGGTGTGATGTAGAGGTGAAGGTGTGGCATGGAGGTGATGGTTGGTGTGGAGGTGATGTTTGGCATGGAAGTGATGGTGTGGTGTGGAGATGATGGTGTGTTGCGGAGGTGAAGGTGTGGCATGGATATGACTGTGTGTAGAGGTGAAGGTGTGGTGTGGAGGTGATGGGATGGCGTGGAGGTGAAGGTGTGCATGGCTGTGACTGTGTGGTGTGGAAGTGAAGGCGTGGTATGAAGGTGATGGTGTGGTATGAAGGTGATGATGTGGTATGAAGGTGACGGTGTGGCATGGAGCTGACGGTGTGATGTGGAGATGAAGGTGTGGCCTGGTTGTGATAGAGTGATGTGGAAATGAAGGTATGATGTGGAAGTGATGGTGTGGTGTAGAGGTGATGATGTGATGTAGAGGTGATGGTATGATGCAGGGGTGATGGGGTGATGTGAAGGTGATGTTGCGGCATGGAGGTGATGGTGTGATGTGGAGGTGAAGGTGCAGTGTGGAGGTGGTGGGGTGACATAGAGGAGATGGGGTGGTGTGGAGGCAGAGGGTGGGATGCCACCATGAGGTGCAGGGACATGGAATGGCCTCTGTTGTCAAGGTTATGGCTTTCATCCTCCCCTCCACCTGTGCCTCTAGGGAGAGCCAGGACCACCTGGGCAGATGGGACCTGAGGGTCCTGGAGGCCAGCAGGGGTCACCAGGGACCCAGGGACGTACCATCCAGGGGCCTGTGGTAGGTGTCTGGCACATTCCTGGCCCCTTCCCACCTACTCATCTTTCTGGATGCCAAGTCCCCTTTCATCCCCCTGCAGGGGCCACCAGGGCTCAAAGGAGAAAAGGGGGACCGTGGACTCCCAGGTTCTCAGGTCAGGAGTGGGCACAGGGGTGGAAGGTGGTATTGCACTCAAGATAAGTGCTTCCTAGGGGGATGTTTAACCTTTGCCTTGGCCTGGCTGGCCACCTGTGTTCTGTTCAGGGCCCCCCCGGCCACCAGGGTACCCCTGGGAGATTCGGCCTCCAGGGACCAAAGGTACCAGTTTGACTGATCCAGAAGTTTCTGCAAGTGGCAGAGAAGTCTCCAGAGAGGCCTGGAGACCTGGGCGTGGCAAGAAGTGTGGGGAGGCTGATTATGGTCAGGACGAGTCACTCTACGGGGCTGGCCAGTGCAAGGTCCTGCCTAGATGACTTAGGATGGGTGCAGACCCCATCCTCACTGGTCAGCCTTCTTTGCCTGCAGGGAATGAGAGGACTGGAGGGGACAGCTGGCCTGCCCGGACCTCCTGGCCCCAGGGTAGGATGTTTCCACGTTTCCTGACCCACCATGCCCCAAGACTCACTGGTACTGGCCAAGGCTGGCTTCACTGCCCACACCACAGCCCAGCACCTCATGCACCCCAGCCATGCGTCCTGGGCTGGAACTTTCTGCCAGGCCTGAAGCACACTGTCACCCCGCAAGACCATGCACTATGACTCCATGTGGCAGAAGAGATTGAGATCTCAGTGTCCCCCAGCTGTGAAGCTGCCTGCTTTCCCCTCTCCCCCTGCCTCTGTGATGTTCTTCTGTTGCCTGTAACCCCAGGGAGTTGAGTGTGGAAAGGACATCAGAGAGCAGCCCTGGTGTGTCCCTGCTGAGAGAGGCTGGGTGCTACTGCTGCTGCACTTGCTGCAGGAGCACTTGGACTCCTGGTTCTGGGGTCTGGGGGTTTGACGTTCTGAGAATTTGGGGTCTGGGGTCTAGGTGTCAGAGAACCTGGGGTCTGGAGTCTGGGGTCCTGGGAATACTGGGTTATGGGGTCTGGGCTCCAGGGCCCTGGGCAGCTAGGACTTCTGGGACTGAAGTTCTGATCTGAGGGTCTGAGAGTTGGGGGTATTAGAGTCTGATGGACTGGGGTTTTAGGTCTGAGGGCCTGGGGATATGTGACTCTAGGGGTATGAGAGTCTGAGGACCCTGGGTATTGGGGTATTGGGGTCTGGGAGTCTAGGAATCTGGGGTCTGTGACTCTGAGGGTCCTGGGAGTATTGGTATATGGGTTGTGAGGGGCTGGGGACTGGGGAACAGAAGTTAGGATTTGAGCACAAGCTGCTGAAGTGGACAGGCAACTGAGTGCAGCAAGTGCTTCCCTGGAGAGGTAGAAGGCATGCTTAAGTTGGCCGGGGTTATAGGCCACAGGCTGAGAAAGAGACTCGGTGGCTAAAGTTGTGTGTGGGTAGTAACCAGTGGGATTCAGGGACTGGGTGAGATGCTGAAGCTCTGGTTCTACTTCTCTGCAGGGATTCCAGGGCCTGGCAGGTGCCCGGGGGGCCAGTGGGGAGCAAGGACCCCCTGGGGCTGTGGGACCCACGGTAAGCCTCATCTCCCCACTGACACCCTTTGCTCTGGGGCCCAGGCACAGAGGCCCAGCTGGACGCTTTGACTAACCTCTCACCCAAAGCTGGGCCACAGGCAGGGCTATTTTCCTGTGGCCCACAGCTTTGGTCTCCCCAAAACTCAGGGCTCCCCTGCCGCTGCCCATCCAGGAATGCTGGATAAAGACCTGGGGCAGTGCCACCAGTCTTGGTGTCCCCTCTCCCCAGAAGAGACTAGTTAGCTGGGAACTAATGCTGGGGACCCACTTTGTGCTTACCTGCCCTTCCCAATTTGCCTCCACACCAGGGGCTGCCAGGGCCGAAAGGGGAGCGAGGGGAGAAGGTAAGGTGGGGGCTCTTGGGTCCTGGTCATGGTAAGGGAAATGCAGCCCACCTCACACACCACTCTGCAGAGCTGGCACCCTTCTGGCCTTCTCCTTCACACACGTGTTCTCTCCTGAGCACTCTCACGTGGGCATTCTCTCTACAGTATCTCCTCACCTGTCCCCTCACTCGTCCCCCTCCTTGTCCTCCCCACGTCCTCCACACTTTTGCCCCACAGGGTGAGCCTCAGTCCCTCGCCACCATCTACCAGCTGGTCAGCCAGGCCTGCGAGTCGGCCATTCAGAGTGAGTGTCCAGCCTGTCCCCGCTGCTGCCCTTCCCCATCCCCGTCCTCCTGCTGGGAGGGTCCTCACCCCACTGACCACTTCCTCCTGCAGCTCACATGCTCCAGTTCAACGCCTTCCTCCATAAGAATGCCAGGCCCCCGATGCCCATCTCTGAAGGCCAGGTGAGGCCGGGGGTGCCCAGGCCCCTCAGTGCACACAGCCAGTCCTGGTTCCCTAAAGAGGGAGCCCGTGATCACCCTGAGGACAGAGGTACAGCCCCCTGGGGAGATGAGTGTGCGTGCTGAGCGCTAAGACCGGTAGGGACAAGTGTGCCTTCTGGAGGCCCAGGGCGGGTGAGGTGGGTCCTCTGAGCCTGTGAAGGGGGCTGTCATGCAGAAGAATGGAGAGTGAGGGCTGCTGAGCACCTTGGGCCTCCCTGTCCTCGCTACCCTCCCAGTAGTCTGCACCGCCCAGGCCGTGTTTCTTCCTGTCCATCTGACAACCAGAGTGGTCACTGCCATGCTCATAGGTCAGGCTGAGATGTGCAGAACATAATGGCCCAGGGCTTCAGGGATGGTGGGGGGCCAGTAGGTGGGGTCCCCCTCTGTCAGGTGGCCCTGCACCCCAGCATCTGTCCTGTAGACATCTCAGGGAGGTGGGGGCTACTGAGGACCCCACAGTGGCCTTGCCTAACCCTCTCAGGGTTGCTCCATAGCCAAGCCACTGTCCTCAAACTGAGAATGTGTCCTGAGTCAAGACAGATTCTCCATCCTGCAGCCCCTCATCCAGAGGAGGTTGGAGGGTATCCTGACACATCCTTCCCCGTCAGTCACCCCTCAGCAGCACCCACCGCAGAGCAGGGGCCAAAGTACCCTCACCCCGGCTTCCAGCCCCACCCACTGCCCCCACCCAAGGAGGGCCAGTAAAGGGGCAGCTACCCTCCCCTCTGGCCCAAGTAAGTAGAGCCCAGAACCCCTGCCCTTGTAGTTTGGGTCTCCATAGCCCACAGGTGCTGCCCCTTTCTCCAGATGAGCCTGGACCCCTCTGCCCCATAGACAGCCCATCTCTTGGATGCTGGGGGAAGACAGGTTCATGTCTCTGAGGCACTGAGGGCCAGTGGGGGCCTCTCCTGGGACTGGGGACTGAGGTGACACACTGTGGTTGTCTGCAGCAGCAGTTGTCAGAAGTGGAATGCAGAGGCCAATGGAGCCAGATTAGAGCCCAGTGGGGTGTCTGGTGGGAGCAGGTTGGGCCGAGAGGCTGTGACCCAGAGGCTAACTATGTATGGGGTGTGTCTGGGGCTGCCAAGGAGGTCAGATGCAATCCAGGCCCAAGGAACATTCATTCAGGTCTGCTCTGCCTGACTGGGGAGATAGTCAGGGGGCCGTTCAGGGTGGACTGTGACCTCACAACCCTGGGTTATAGTCAGGTTGGGGTACAGAGCTGGACTGGGGGTCCCACAACCTTGGGGGACAGTAAGATGGGGGCACAGTGTGGGGCTGGGTTCCTATAATTGTAGGCTCTGGTTAGGTGGGGGCACAGGGTGGGGCTGAGGTCCTACAACTCTGGGTTATAATCAGGTGGTAGTACAGGGTAGGGCTGAGGTCCCATAGCCCTGCGTTATAGTCAGGTGGGGTGTGGGACGGGCTGGGGTCCCAAAACCTTGGGGCACAGTCAGGTGGGGATACAGGGTGGGGCTGGGGTCCCACAGCCTTAGGTTGTAGTCAGGTAGGGGTTGCAGGGTGGGGTTGGATCCCATGCCCCTAGGTTGCAGTAAGATGAGGGTCCAAGCGAGGCTTGGGGGCCACATCTTCCTCACTTATCTCCTTTCCCCCCAGGAGAGCCCCCATGCTGCTCCTTCTGACCACGCGGCACGCTCCTTCGATGGAGTCCCTGGATACTGACCACCCGCACTGGGGTTTAGAGGAGGCGAGCTGCCAGTGGAAGGAGGAGGGGAAGGGGTCCAGATGAACCTGCAGAAACCCCTCCCCTGAGCTGGCCCCATAAACTCAGCTGACCTGGCTGTGAAGAGTTTGGTCATTTGGGGCAGGAAAGGGTGGGGCTCTGTCCCTGTCATTGTGAATTCTTCTGTCGCTCTGGCTCCCTGAGAGAGGCATTTACCTTCAGCTTCTTGTGGCTTTGGGGCCCTGAACTACCCTATTTTCGCATGGCCCACTTGGCCCCCACCTGGTCCTGGACGTGATAGAGGGGTGCAGTCCCCAGAAGTGGCACCATTTCTGAGACTATGACATGAGGCACCCCACCCATAAGCCTGCCTTCCATATCCTAGGTTCCTTAGTCCTTATCCCCCATCCTTTAGTCCCAGCCCTGAGCCCCCAAGGGGAGGGGTCAAGAGGGAGTGCAGGGTGGGACTGGGATCCCTTGAGGGTCCAGAATACTTTGGTCCCTTGACTCCCCAGTCCCTAGCCCTATGGGTCCCCACTCAATCTCCCAGACCCTACACCTCCCCATCCAGAGCCTCTGACTCCACCACCTGCCCCCTGCTGGCCTTCCCAGTTCTCCTGATCTTGCATAGGTGGACAGCGTCCTGTGTCCCTCCTGCATCACAACACCAGATCACCTCAGACATCACAGGAGTGACAGCTTTCAGGCACAAGGCTTCCACTGACCTGGCAGAGAGGACAACCAGGTCTTACCAGGTTTTAGGAGATGCCCCTGCTGGGCTAGGGCTGCTGCAGGTGGGAAGATGCTGTGGAAAGTGCTGGTTCTGTCTGAGGAGGAGCATGAAGAAGCCTCAGGGGCTCTGAATCAGCAGAAGCTGGCTCCCTGCTCTGTTAATTCCAGCCTGCCTGCAAACAGCCTCCGCCTGAGAGGACCCACCAGCTCCCTGCTCTGCAGTGGGGTCAGAGGCCACTCATGTAACCCTCCCCTGAGTCCCATGTTCACCTCTGCTGCCCCATGACCCCTAGATTTCCAGGTGGAATCCTGGCATTCTGACACAGTCTAGCCACAGCTCCCAGTTTCAGGAGTTCTCACAACTCTTGAGAAGTTGGAAGGGTCTCAGCCTTTCAGCCACTCACCAAATACAGCCTGGGTCCTGCCACTTCCCTTCTCATGCTCCACCACACCCCTGACAGCCTAAGACTCACTCCCTTGGGCTTCTCGGGCACTCTAACCATGGCCAGAGCAAAAAGCTCGGGCATACCATTCAGACTAGGACTCTGTCAAGATCTGGCACGCCTGGCTTTCCACCACAACATGAAGACCCTTTCCACTGCCCACAGGCTCCCTGGGCCACCCCACAAACCCTCACAACAGACTCCTGGCCACCCGCCCCACAGGGCCTTTAAACGCTGTGTCTCCCGCCTGGTGGCCCTTTCTGTAGTTGTGTTTGTAGCTGAAGCTGGCCTCATCCAAGGTTCATCACCATCGCCAGCACTTGTCACATGGCTGTGTCCTCCATCATGGCATAGACAAGTCCTTTCTGCCCTGGCTCCATTGCATTACCTACACTGAAGGCAGTGCCTGGCCTAGAGGGGCTCAGACCTTTTGTCCAGGTGAGCGTCCCTCTCATGGCCAGTCCACATCTGATTCCTTGCCCAAGTCATTGCTTCCATTCATTGGCCCTGTATATTCTCTGTCAGGGAGCAAGGCTGCTCTCAGTGTGGGCTCCTGAGGCTGCTACGCTCCTGGCTCTCCATCTGGAGTTCAGACCTGCCCATCTTCCTTGGTGGTCCCTGGTGGTCATTAGTGAAGGGCTAAACTGCTCATGGCAGGAGACTTAACAGTCCCTCTTTGCCTGGGCACCTGTGGGAGGTATTAGGCAGTTCCATTTTTGTTCTTGACCAAGTATTTGATAATTACCTGATTATTAGATTTCCACTTAAATAGCCAGGTTCAAAAGCAGAAAGGGGTCACTAATGAAGAGGTGACCCATATCATTGTGGAGGAAAAGTGTTAAAAAGGAACAAAGAGAGACCTAGATGTGTGTGTGTGTGTGAGAGAGAGAGAGAGAGAGAAACCCAATCCTCCTAGACAATAAGCTTGCAAACCCCCTACTTGGCCTTGACTATGTGAGACACAGAGCAACCTCATGAAGAAAAATCAGTCCACAGTCACAGAGGGCAACTAGCTCATCTGTTCCAGAAAAGGATCAACCCAGGAGACAAAACAGAGATTTAAACGACACAATTAGCAAGACACAAGGGAGATCTCTATACCCGGTAGAGGACACCTTCTCTTCATACTCCTGTGAATGAGTCAGACACAAATGCTCACAGTGGATTGGAAAGTGCCTTTCTAAGCATGAGACAATGAAATGAAAAAGCAGACAAGAACTTTAGAACAAATGAACACCTAAATAAATCCTATATTTCAGAAGTCACAGGCAATATTAAGACATACTTTTACTTAATGAGCAACCAAACTACAACATGGCAAAAACAGAGAGGTGCAGCTAAAGCAGCATTTAAGATCAAAGTCATAGCCTTAACTATAGATATTAAAGATGACAGACATTGAGAACAACGGCCTAAGCTTACTGCTGTGTCCTCCAGGAAAGATGATCAGGTCTTTGTGCTGGAGCTGAGCTGGCCTCAGATTATGTGGGCCAGTGTCATAGCTTGACTGGACCAATTGTTTCTCCAGTTTCCTTTTGGCCAGTCCTGAGGTTCAGTGGTTCTAGCTGAATTAGAAGGGATGCCCTTGAGCAGTGTAGCAGGTACTTCTGAGGAGCTTTGTTGGGGGAAGAGAGGACTGAAATAAAATCTTAGAGCCACATGGTGCCCAGTGTTTTCCAAGAACTTCCTTCCTGGCGGGGGGCTCCAGTGCAACATGGGGAAGGCATACTGAACAGTCTACATCATGCCAAGAACTTGTATGTTCTCTGGTTCTTTAATTTAAAAAAAATCATATCTTCAAAGGAGGGTCACTAATAACATGAGATAAGAGTTCACAAGCACAAGGGAAGACCAATTGGAAATTCTAGGTGTGAAGAACATAAAAAAAAAAAAAAAGAAACCAATGCCACAAGATGAGGGGAAGGGAAGGCAGGTAAGAACATCAGAGCTATGCTGTCAGGTCTGCAATCTCCAAGGAGAGTCCAGAAAACAGAAGAATTCAGTGTTCAGACTACGTGGTGAGGAACCCTGGTGGCAAAGTTAAGTGGTTCTAATCCAGTAGATGTTCTATGAGAGGAATATGAGACAGCCTGCCTCTGTAAATATTAATAGCCTTGGAGGCCATATGGGACACTTCTGCTCTGTCCTCTGGGGTCACTGTGAGTCCACATTGACTGAGTGGTAGTAGGATGTCCACATAATAAGGGCTCCAACAGGAAAGACAGTAATCAAGTGTTACTAGTTGCTGTTTTGTCTGTGTATTTACGGAGCAGAATATCAGTCCTTTTTTCAGAGTCACTGGGCGGGTTAGAACTGCCAACCATTTGATTAGCAGCCAAGAGTATATCTATCAAGTCACTAGGGTAGGTGATGACTTACCTACTAATCAATTAAGTCATTAGGGTAGGTGATGATTTAACTACTAATCACTTATCAACTACCTCATTATCTAAAATTTAACATTTAGGGCAACTTTGAAATAATTTTCGAGTGGCCCAAGACCCATGCAGGAGCTCAGTGGTACACTAAGGCCCGGATAGCCACTCAGCTGTTGGAGAGAGGGGTACAGGACACCTCCTGTTCATCTACAATGTTTCATACAGCCAAGATGGTCTGGGGGGAGAAGTCAAAGGTGGACAGAGGGAGACTGGGGGCGGGTCTTAAGGTGTTTGGGAGCTTGGTGGGAGGATACACAAAGGGAAAAGAGGTAAAATGGCCACGTGGGGCTGCAGGCTGGGACAGATGGAGGATGAGTTGGGTCCCTACCCAGGGTGGGCAGCAGGAAGCAGCCAGCAACACACAGCCACTATCATTCCTTAACCCCCACAGGCTCTGTGGTGGTGGGAAGGCAAGGTGGGGAGAGGGCTGCACCTCACACATCCCAAAATATACTAGGGGGGCACTTGTTGTGTGGTGAGCCCCTGGAGTGGAGGAACACTGAGATTGAAGATGAAGTGTGACTCCTGGTCTAAAATAATACCAATCCCTCATAATGACTTTGCCTTGGGGACCTAGCTGGCCAGTAAGTGAGGACTGCATGGTGTGGACTTGAATGTACACTTTGAATACCAGATGCTGTAGGTTGAACTGTGTCCCCTCAACATACATGTTACCTTGGCTGCCCACAGTGTCTAGTATTGTGTGGTTGTCCTCCTTTTTTCGGTCGGATATAATTGTCCTGTCTATTGATCGTGTTTGGATTGTGGTGAATTGTACCAAACATCCCAGGAACTCCCAGAAGAACCAACAAGCCTGACTTGGAGGAAGTGCAGCCAGGGTGCTCCTGTGAAGGCAAGGGGGTCAAGCTTCATTGCGCACACCTGGGCTTGTTGTCAGGGGGCTGGAAAAAGACAGCGTGCTGGAGTAGACAGTCATAGAAGGAGAGGAAGACCTTTGAAAAGATAGACTAACAGAGTGACTGTAACCATGGATTTGAGTGTGATGGAGACTGAAGGGGGTGGGGATAGGGCAAAGGTCAGAGCTGTGTTCAAAGGGTCATGTTGAATCATGGCCAAATTAAAGCACCCGACACTGCCACCAGCAGCATGCCTTGTAATTTGTAATCTCCGCCTGTGATTAGTGAGGTAGGACTAGGGCACGATAACACCCTTCCTCTGGTCTGAATCCCAGGTAACAGGTGTTCCCTAAGGAGTGGTGTGCATCATCTTTTCTCTTTCAAGAGAAGCCGAGAAGCTGGGATTTCCTACCAAGCACTGGGAGCAGAGCTTTGGGTCCAGGGTCCCTGTGTGGAGAACCTCCTAGGGGTGGCTGACACTGATGTCAAGTTACCCGGAGATCCCTAAGGAATGCTGGGCCCACAATCAGCAGAGAGGAAGACTTCCTCTAGGGCCAGTATGCCACACCCAGACTTCTAGGTGCCTCCATAGTGAGAGGAGAAATCTGTGTCCAAGCCACTCCTTTGTGGTAGTTCAACAGACCTAGAGAGAAAGACAGCAGGCAGACTTGACTTGTGGAGAGCCAGAGTTGGAAGTTTAGACATTATGGGCCAGAGGTCAACTCTGCCTCTGTGGCAAAAGGTTGCTGTGGACAAAGCAGGGGTGGGGAGGAAGCACGACTATGGGCGCAATCTCTGCATGTCACAGGCTGGGCTGCCGCTGCCCCAGGCTCTGGATGTGCAGAGAACCAGCCCCCAGCCCTTTGTGGTGCGGTGTGCAAACATGTACGGCAGCTTGTTACCACCCTGACCGTTCTCCACCCTGCGGCCCCGCACGCCCACTGTTTGACCTCTGGGAGATGAGAGCGTGTGCCACTCAGACTGAACAGCTCAGTTCTGGCAGCTGATTCACAACCACTGAGAATGGGGAGCAGCTCGAAGTCCATCAGCAGGTGGCCGGTGAGCAAATGGCATTCTGGTTTATTCAAAGGAACACAAATCAGCAGTAAAAGAAGGAAGGATGCTGCTCCCAGACACAGAGGGGTCCAGTTGCACCCCACGAGGTAAACAAAGTCAGATGCATGCAGACTGGAGATCACACCTGAGCCCAGTCTCTGGGTAGCAGGTGCTGAGGTGGTCATGGGAGCCATGAGGTGGGCGTGGGAACACACAGGAGGGGCGGGAGGTGGCTCTCTGAGTGAAGTCCCGACTGTGTGACCCTGTTTGGAACTAGGGGCTCTTTTGTTGTATGAACAAAGTCACATGAGGTGGGCCCTACCCTTAGAGTTGTAAAATGAGAATAGGTGCATGCACTGTCCATCCCAAGCAGAAGCCACTGAGCAGAGGAGGGAGGGATGGACATTGGCCAGAGTTCCAATTCCAGTCTCCAGGACTGGGGGTGAGACATGCTGTGCCGTCCAGAGCAGGGGCTCTGCCATGGTGGCCCCCGGGCAGTGCAGACAGCTGGAGTCTGGCTCCTGGACGTCTGCACTAACAAGCTTCAGAGGCTCGTGGAATGGCTTGGACTTTGCGTGCTGCTGTGTGCATGTTCTGGCAGGAATGTGCTCGAGACAAGCTCAGCTCCTCGGCTGTGGTGGAATACCAGCCACTTCTCTCATGTTTTTAATTTTTTTTTAATTTTCTGACTTAATTTTGAATCTCAAAATGTGCCCTGTTCATAGACAGGAAGACTCAATATTGTTAAAATGACAATCTTACCCAAAGCAATCTATATTTTCAACATAATCCCCGTACAGATACCAAATTCAGTTTTCAAGGAGTTCAAAAGGGAAATTGTCAAGTTTATTTGGAAAGGAAAGAGACCCTGGAAAAGTAAAGCACTTCTGAAAAACAAAAATGAAGTGGGAGCCATTGCACTCCCTGACCTCAAAACCTACTACATAGAGTTGGTAACCAAGATAGCATGGGACTGTTACAATGACAGGTACATAGAACCTCTCGCTCTATGGTCAACTGGTATTTGACAAGGAAATAAAACCTATTAAATGAGAGAGTGACAACCTCTTCAATAAATATGCTGGCAAAACTGGTCTGCTACATGCAGAAAGTTGAAACAGTATCCACATCTCACACTACACACAAAATCCAACTCAAGGTTGATCAGAGAGACCTGGGAGTAAAGCCCAAAACCATAAAGTTGCTAAGAGACAAACTGGGACCAAGTTTAGAATGCCTAGTTTACGGTATAGAGACTGCTAAATACAGACAGAAACACACAATCTGAAGAGGATAAAACTGATGAAAAGGACCATCTAAATATTAAATCTCTGTGCTCATCAAAAGCTTTTTCCAGATCCTTTCTGGTTCATACGCATGATGATTGGGAGTTCATACTTCTGTACGACATGTGCCGCCTACTAAACCTGGTACGACATGGGACACTACCCATCTGACATGAAAGGAAAAAAAAATGAAAATTTTTTTAAAAAAGCTTTTTCCAACAGCCTGAAAAAAAAACCCTACCACCTGGGAGCAAACATTTGGCAATAGCATCTCAGACAAGGGTCTCCTAACAAAAGTTTACAGAAAACTCCTGGGCTTCCAGAAGAAAAAGACTGAAAACCCAGTTACAAAATGGGCAAAAGACATGGAAAAACTTTTCAGAGGAAGACATTTAGCTAGCCAACAGGCACATAAAGAAATGCTCCAAATCACTGGCAATAAGAGAGATGTAGATTAAAACCACAATGAGATACCATTTCACCCCAGTAGCAGTGGCAAAGTATAGTAGGTTAGCAAGCAATAAATGTTGGGAGAGGATGTGAAGAGGTGGGAACTCTCATACACTGTTGGTGGGATTATAAATGGTACAATACTCTGGAAGATAGTTGGGCCTTTCCTCTAAAAGTTGAACATAGAAACTCCTATGACCCAGCTTATTCTCTTACTAGGAATATACACCAGGGAAATGAGAACTGAGGCACAAATGGAGATCTGTACATCAATGTTAGCAGTGTTATTCAACATCACAAGAACACGGAAACAGCCCAAATGTGAAACCACAACTGAATGGACTGAGAAATTCTGATACATCCATGTAATGGAATACTATGCAGCACTCAAGAACAACAATTTTGAAAAATACTACATAACTTGGGAGACGGGAGAGCATTAGATTGAGTTAACTAAGGTTCCTAAGGACAAATACTGCATAAGACCATTATTGTAAAAATAGAAGAATAACTAGTAAAACATGTACGGAAACTCAAGGGGGGATGGTGGGGGCAGAGCGGTGAGGATTGGTAGGGCAAAACCACAGGGTTGCAGAGTTTGGTGGGTGGAGGGAGGCAGGGAAGTAAATGGGAATGATCAGGTGAAAAGACAGTATTGATGGGCATTGTATGAAACACAATATGAATGAGGAATAGTGTGAAACACAATGTACATGAACTTTGCAAGCAAACCAATAAAAAAAGAAAAGCAATGGAAGAGGGAGGTGTCTCACCCTCAGGGGAGCAGCTGGTGGGAGGCAGCCCTGGCTGGAGTGGCCTCTGACCCAGAAAAGCACAACCACAGCTGCATCCCTCCCAGCAGCTGCCAGCACATCTGGCCACTGCGTCTGGTTCTGTACCTCAGATCGAGGGACTTACCTCTGCATCCTGAGTCCCCTCCCTCCTCCAAGGCCGGTGGCTTCAGCTGTGTTGCATAGTCCTGAGGGTGAATTCAACCTGCCCAGCCCTCCCTGAACACCCAGAAGCGCCAGACAAGGGATGTCCCCAGGGAGCCAGAGCAGATCAAGGCTCAGCTGGGAGAATCTGCTGCGCCTGGGGGACACTGGGCTGATGGGGTGGGGTGGGAGGGAGAGGTCAGAAGATGCTGCACTGGGAGTGTTGTGCCCAGATGGATGACGCAGATGCTGGACTCAGAGGATGTGGGGATGCTGGTTAGGGGTTGCTGAGTTCGGGGGATGAGGGGATGCTGGGTTAAGGCCTGCTGGGTACATGGAATGGGTGAAGCAGGTGCTGGAGAAGGGGGCACTGGACCCAGAGGGTAAGGGGAATATTGGGTTAGGGGGCTTGGAGTCTAGGTATGGAATGAGGAGGTACTAGGTTAAGGCGTGCTAAGTCCAGGGAATGGGATGAAGGGGTACTAGATTAGGGGGAGCTGGGTCCAGGGGATGGCATGAAGGAGTACGAGGTTAGGGGTAACTGGGTTTAGGAGATGGAGTGGTAGGTGCTGGATTAGAGGGTGCTGGGCACAGTAGATGGGATGAAATGCTACTGGGCTGGGAGGCCACTGAGTTTGGAGTATATTGAGTGGTGCTGGATTATAGTGACTTGTCCAGGAGACGGAGCAAGCCATGCACTAGGCTGGCATGTTGATCAGCTCCTACTGTCCCTACCCCTTTTTAGCACTTAGAGACTGAGAGGGAGGAATGGTCTTGGGTGTGAGGGGCCAGGTCCACGCAAGTGAGTGGCAAGGGTGAGGGACTCGTGTTCACAGGGTGAGAGATCCACGTCTACCCGGGTGAGGGACTCATGTTCACAGGTCCTCACCATGGTCCCCTCGGCCTCTGCAGCGCAGCCTGGGTGCTGTGACGTTGACCTGGAGGGTGTTCTGTGGCCCTGTAACTATGGAGAATGGGCTAGGAGCTCCTGAGCCCCGGACACCTCCACCCCCTCATGTTCCCTAGGACTCTGCCCTTCCTGCACCCTCTGCCCTGGGGCTGCAGCTTTGGACGGCTGCTCTCACTCCGGATGGGTCCTCTGGTCATACCACGGTCGGAGGTGGGGCAGCCCCCAGCCCCTTGCCTGCTTGAGGCCCAGTTCGCTTGATTGCAGAGTGAGCGACACAGGGCCGTGGTGTCCAGGTGGGAGTCTCTACTCCAAGGTCCTTCAGCTGTTCCTGTGTAGGTGGAGTTGGGGTCCCAAGGTCCTGAAAAATGCCTGCTGCCGACCCCACTCCACCCTGTCACCCTGCAGCATGCTGTCGGGGACGCCTTTCTACCACAGATCCAGCCACAAAGTTCTTCTTCAGGCCCCTGGGCACAGCTGAGCTTTGATTAACTTACCCTAAACAAGCACATGCCCCTCGCTCAGCTTCACCCACCTACAGGTTTGAAGGGGACCAGGGTGGGAGGTGGAGAGTATGATCAGATCCCTCCTCGACTGAGTGATGAGGTCACATAGGGTGAGGAGGGAGCAGCCAGGCCTCCTGGACCCTGTCTGACCAGGTCCACTGAGAGGCTTGGAGGAGCCGGTCCAGTCTTCAAGGTAGGAGGCCACAGTCACCATGATCTGGACAAGCTTTAATGGGACTGACCCAGGACATTGCCCGGTGGACAAGCCCTTCGCCTGCTCCTATGGGCAGTGCTGGGGCAGCACTGAGGGTTATCCCTCCAAAACCAGCTCTCCACCAAGATGACCATGCAGTGATGCTGTGGTGGCCAGGTCTGGGGGTCTAGATCATGCCAGCCAGCCAGGGCGGCAGGAAGAGGCCAATGGTGCCCAGCAGACAAACGATGACAAACACCCACAGGAAGACACGGTCGATGACCATGGCCACGTATTTCCAGTCTTCCTTCACCTGTGGGGCCAGAGAACCTTCTGAATGAGGTGCCACAGAAGCTCCTTCTCTGTGTCCACTCCCATCCTCAAGGCAGCCAAGGTGATGGTACACACCTGCGTGCACACCTGGACTGAGGTGGCCCTGGGGTGCAGAGAAGTCACCTCTGTTCAAGTCTGGCTCAGAGAGAACTTCGAGGGGGGCTAACCCCTCACTCAGCAGAGCCCAGGAAGGGTGGGTGGGCTGTGAGGGAGTGAGGGGCCAGCAGGGTGGGGTCCTTCTTGAAGCAGTCATGTGCACACTGAATAGGTGAGTCTGCAGCCCACCAACCTCACCAAGCTGTAGGGACAGAACTCAGATCTGTGCCCACTTGACACACCTGTCCACAGGTGGCTGCATTCCCCCTCTGGGGGATCAGGATCTGTGTGTACACAGTGGGTGGGAGGCAGTGTGGAGACTACCGCAGACACCCCATTATAAGCAGGAAAGGTGTAGCCCCCCCCCGATCCGAGATGCCTTTGGGATAGACTGCAAGTAGAGAGAAAGGCTGTCCACCATGAGGGACTGGACGCAGCTTGCACAGGACTTAGGATCTGCAGGCCAGGTGGGGCCAGAGCTGTTTCGGGGAGGGGATGTTGAGGCTCCAGTCAGCATTTTCTGTGCCAGATTTTATGTAACCATGGACTTTGGTTTTAAACCGAACAGAAGCATCATGTTCTAGGGGGCCTGTGAGCAGGCGGCCGACAAAGCCCTGGTGGACCCTCTGTTCCAGGGACAGACTGAGTGGCCTCAGAGGCCACTTCCCTCCACTTTGATGCTCCCTCTTGTGTCCTCACCGCCATCTCTCTCCTGAGATGAAACACATCAGACCAAAGCTTCTGGCTTAAGGCCCTTCTTGTGTGGTTCCTGCTGCCCTAGGGAACTGGGCTCACCGGGTTGGGGCCAGGTTGCCACAACCACAGCACAAACTCGTGGTGCCCAAGGGAGGGCAAAGCCCACCCCACCAGTGGCCACCAGGGGTCCTGGCTCCCTGAGGTCCTGAATAGACATGAGGAGAAGCCCGGGGCAGCCACTTCCAGACTTACCGCGCAGGAGACGTGTGGGGACACCCCAATTCCTGCAGGCCCCAGACATGTTAGCTTGGAGAGCATTGCTGGGGTCCCCAAGACCCCTCATGACACCATAGGTTTCCCAAGCTCCCTAGCTGGCCATGTCCAGACTCTCCCCTGGTGGGAGTCCAGGACTCGGCACCTATGGGAGGCACTCAGTGCCCACAGGAGGTGCTTAGTCCTCGTGGAAGAGATGCAGTCCCCAGTAGAGGGGCTTGATGCCCATGCGAGGGACAATCTGAGACCCACATGCTGTGATGTCCAGTGCACTCACTGGGATTTGGGGAAGGGATAAGTCCCTTCCCACTCACAGGCTGCAGATATCCCCAGGGAACAGCAGCAACTGCAGGACAAAATCCAAGGTTAGTGGCCATGCTCAGAAATGACCACCAAGTCCAGAAGACCAGCTTTGCCCTACAGCCCCACAGCCACCCAGTTCAGCAGTGGCGTTGCCTTGGGGATCAAATAGGCACAGCAGGACGGGTCAGGGCTGCTGTAGGGTTGCCTTGCACTGCACCCCAACCCCAAGCAGCTGGGCTGCCACTACCCTACTCTGTAAGGCCCATGCTGACCGCTCACTTGTCTGAGCTGAGGCAGTGATGTGTGCGGCAGGAACTTACCGAGAAATCTGTGTCCTCCGCCTTCAGGTGGTCTGCAATGTACTGGACACCCTCCACGGCTCGGGACAAGGCTGGGGACAGGGGCAGGTGTCGACGAGGCACTTTGGTGCCGTGGACTGTGAGTGTGGCATCCGGAGAGGTGGCAGACAGCTCCTTCTTGCATTTGCATTTGCAAGGGGAGGGCTGGTCAGGGGCTGCGGGCTCAGCAGAGTGGGTAGAGGCTGGGGAGCTGGCCACTCGGCCGTTAGCCTGGGCCGAGGCCTCATCTTGGGTGACACAGTACTGGACGCTCCGAGAACGGCACCGGACACTGCTGTCCTCTGCTCTGCTGGAGCTGGGCATGTGCTGGACACTCAGGGACCTGGCCTTGGCCAGCCCAGTGGCCTGGGCACTGCTGGGCAGGTGTCCAGGGCCAGGTGAGGGGCAGGCACTGGTCTTCCCAGCCTCTGTGGGCGGGGGTGGAGGGGGCTGCTCCGAAGGTGGCTTGACCGGTTCGGCCAGTGAGACACAGAGGGACGCAGAGGGTGACGGGTCCCGGGCGCAGAAGCCAGGCTGGGCCTCCGGCTCAGGCCAGAAGCGAGGGGCACTGGCCATCTTGTGCATGGACTCGATGAGCCTCCGGCAGTTGTCCTTGACCACGGACGGCCGCTTCATGAAGAGCAGACGGGGCACAATGTCCAGGAAGACCCGGCGCACCCAGGCGGGCATGGTGTGTGTGCGCGGGGAGCGGTGGTGCACGTTGAGCACGAAGACAGTGATGATGATGGACAACGTGACAAAGATCATGGTGAAGAGGAGGTACTCGCCGATGAGGGGGATGACCAGTGAGGTGGACGGGATGATCTCCGTGATGAGCAGCAGGAAGACGGTGAGTGACAGCAGCACGGAGATGCAGAGCGTCACCTTCTCGCCGCACTCGGAGGGCAGGTAGAAGACCAGCACCGTGAGGCAGGAGATGAGCAGGCAGGGGATGATGAGGTTGATGGTGTAGAAGAGCGGCAGGCGCCGGATGATGAAGGCGTAGGTGATGTCAGGGTAGACCTCGGCGCAGCACTCGTACTTCTTGGTGTTGTAGTTGCCCACGGCGTCCACGATCACCCACTCGCCACTCTCCCAGTAGTCCAGCTGGTCCACACGCTGGTGCATGCTCACCAGGTCGATCTTGGCCTTGTCATATGTCCAGGACCCAAACTTCATGGTGCAGTTCTGCTGGTCAAAGGGGAAGAAGGTGACGTCGATGCTGCAGGAACTCTTGTAGATGGCCGGAGGCGTCCACTGGATCCGCCCGTCATGGAAAAGGTGGGCTTTGGTCAAGTGCGTCACTGCAAAGTCCCCATCAGCGCTGCACAGGATGAGGAGAAGCCCGTTACGAGCACACCATGGCTCAGCCCCAAGCAGCACGCCACAGCCCTGGTTGCCCAACCTCTCCATGACCCCACACACCTGCACAGGTGAGCAGATTTTAAACCCTCTGCACACGCAATAACTGCACCTGTGAGCACACCTACCTCACAGGTGAGCACACCACCACACAGGTGAGCAGACTTCTAACCCTCTGCACACCCAACACCTGCACCTGTGAGAAGACTTCTACCTCCCTGCGCCTGTGAGCATACTCACAACACAGGTGAGCAGAGTGAGTCTGGGCATCCCCATCACTTCCATGACCTCACACAGCTGCACAAGTGATCAGCGCAGCTCATAGAGGGGCACCCTGGGACCTGACATCCAGGGTGACAGTGCACAGGCTTGGACAGAACTGTCTCAGGTCACCATCCCTGCTGGAAGCCTTTTCACAATTCATGTGCTCTTGTGTATATATAGCAGTTAACAGGGCCTTTGGCAAAACCTCTGCAGAAGATTCTAGCATCTTCGGTTGGCTGAGCTTCTGCTCTCTTTAGGCCCACCCTTCCCTTCTGCGTGGCCCTTCTCTCCCTGGTAGCTGCATCCCACCCAGAGCTCACTTTGTCAGCCTGGCCCCACAGTCCACCTGCCAACATTTCTCCAAACCCAACCTGGCTGACCTGTAGCTCTGATGAGGCCAAGGCTGCCACCAGGACTCAGCATCGAGCATCTCGTTTCTGAACTTGTTCCCCGTGGCTGATGCAACACCCATTCAGCCGTGGCCCTAAATTTCATTGTTCCCAAAGACTCTAAAGGAGCCAGCCATAGGTCTACCTCAAAGGCCAGGACCCCTCAGGGCCCCCGCACAGAATTGGAACTCACCTCTTTGGACAATTGGGGCAATTGGGCACCAGCCTCATCTTGGCCAGGGTCTGCCCTGCCCCTGCCTTCACAGCCCCAGCCCCGCTGTGTGCAGTCTGCCAGCAGCCTCCAGCAGCGCTCTGCAGGAATGCTGCCCATCCACCCTTCTACTCAGCCTTCTGCTCCAGACCCAGTGAGCACTCCCTGCATCTCAATGAGGCCAAGCCTCCTGGTTGCAATGGCCCAGCCCAGGGAAGCGGTGTTCTCCAGGCGATGATGGGGGGGTGTGCACACACATGCACACATGACACATACAATGCACACTCATACCAGCATACACACATGTACACAAAGACACACTTCCACAGGCTTTGGAGCACGCATGTACATACAAACACACCCACCACATATGTGTACACACATGCATACACTCAACACACATATATTTATGCACACACACATGCACACTCACACATACTTCTTTCCACATACTTGGGAGCACACATGTGCATGCAAACATCCCCACCAAACACATGTACACAAGGGCATGTATTCAATGTGTACACACACACACACACACACACACACACACACACACATTATCCCACAGACTTTGGAGTATGGGTATGCATGCAAACACACCAGCAGATACATGCACACATAGACACATACTCAATGCACACACACACCTACATGTACATACGTATACATCATTCTGCAGACTTTGGAGCACATGTGTACATGCAAACACACCCAGCACAGGCATGTACATGTGTGCACACTTGCATGTATTCACAAGCACGCACACCCCCCTCCTCATCCCGCAGATGCTGGAGTACACAGAATCATGTTCCCGCTCTTGGCCCCCTTCCCGTAGCTCCACCACTCTGGACTCAAAGCTTTGAGGCTCAAATTAAAATCCACCCAGCAGGCAGCAGCCCTGAGCTTAGATATTTTGTGGGAAGCTGGGGGCCTCAGTTAATGAGCAGTGAGAAGTGGCAGCCCCAGCCACCCTCAGATCAAGTGGAAAGAGTGGAGTGTTCCAGAGGGACCACTTAAGGAGATAGTCCATCTCCACCCCTCCTTCTCGTCAGTGCACTGCTCACCTCACCCTCAGTGGAGCTCACAGCACCACCAGCTACAACACACCTCTCCTCACCTTGTCAGACTCGCTCTCATCCTTGCCTCTGGGGTGCCCCCAGAGGACCCTGCCATCACGTGGGCCTCTGAACTTACTGCCCACCCTGTGGCCTCACTCTCACCCCACCAACAGCTTCTAGGGAAGGGGCGCTGAGGACAGCTGGGCCCACCCGCTCCCATGTCCTGGAGCCTGTGGTCAGTCCTGCCCAATACATTGCCACAAAAGGGTCTGTAGCTGGAGGCACTGGGCTCAGGGATGCATATGACTTGCCATGCAATCTGTGCTTCCCTGTCCTCTGGAATTGTACCCTGAGAAAGCCAACCTTGGTGAGGGTCCCCAGGAGGGCAAGAGGCCATGTGAGGCCGGGCAGCTGCTGCACCTGGAGGGAGAGGTAACTTGGCCATGCTAGCCCACCAGGAAGATAGTTCCCCTGACCTGTGACCAGGGCCCCGCTCACTTGAGGCTGGAACACTGTCCTCCCCCACCTCTGGGGCAGGGGTTCTGGACTGTGGGCAGCAAAGGCCAGAATGAGTGTCCATCTGAGGTGCCCTAGAGTCAGCAGAGCAACGGGCTCTTCTCACTGCCCAGCTGCGGCTGGCTGACCTTCACCACTCCTCCTCTGCACCAATCACCATGCTGCCCACGGCCTCCTTCTTGGCTGCTGGCTCCAGGGTCCTTTTACCCTTATGTCCCCAGGTGTCATCACGCGAGAGCCTTAGACCTGCCTTTTGCCAGCATGGTCCATGCAGGAAGGGAAGACCAGGAGGTGAGCCACTCCTGCCTGGCAGCCCGAGGTGTCCTGCCTAGCTGTGCCCCCTCCCTGCAGATTCCACTGCCCTCAGACAGCACAGATCTCAGTGCACACGGGGGAGAGGCAGAGAGGCAACAGGGACCCCTCGTTGGGGGAGGGGCTGGGATGCCTGGGGAGAAAGCCGTCAGTGGACAGTCACTCACTCCGCCAACCCTCCTCCTCTAATGGACCAGGAACCTTCTCAGCCCCTTTCACAATGTGTCCGATGCCATTACCAGAATCAATTAAGGGAAGAGGCCCATCTTTTCTGATCAAATAGGAGTGTTTGTAGGTCAGGGATTCCCCAGGGCCCAACAGGGTCTTTGTGTAGGAGCCCTTGGGGCTGCAGCGTGGGGGAAGGGCACAAAGCTAATCAGGAACTCAAGCATCTCTGTTCAAGACACCTCAGTGCCCACTGCCCACCAGAAACTGGGAAACTCAGGCCAGCAGTGACACTGAGCGGTCGTTCCCCTGGTCTGGGACCAGCAATGGCACTGGGCAGTGGCCCCAAGTTGGGGACCAGCAATGATAAGATGGCAGCAACTCTGAATGGAGGAAGACCCTGGAGGGACACTGTGGCAGGGGTACTAGGGCTTGGGGACCACAGTGACACTGTGGAGCTGCCCTGTGTGGGGGCCCAGCAGCCCCGAGGAGCAGCCTCCAGTGCACCTGGAGGTGGGGAGGCAGAGGGGAGAAGGGTCTGCAGCTCTGGTTTCCAGGGTCCCTGGCTGGAAGTGGTTGGACAAGAAGGGCACTCGGCAGAGCTCCACCCTGCATCCACGTCCCCGGGGGTACAGCCCCTAAGGTCTCAGGTCCCTCGGCCATGCCTGACCCCCTGCCCTCCTGTAAGTCCTTCACAGTATGGCCCTGGTCCCATCTTGGTCCAAGCTGAAGGGCCCACACTCACTTGTTGTAGAGGACGATGTCTGGCCTCCAGATGAGCTCCGAGGGGATGCGGATGGATGTCACGTTCTCGAAGTCGGCTGGGTCCCAGCGTAGCTTGTAGTCATGCCACTCCTGGGGGGCAGTGAGGGGACAGTGGGCTCTGCCACTTCCTGTTCCCACTCCCACCACCCGTGGAGGCTGGTGAGGAGGGGAGGAGGTTAAAGGGTGATGGGTACAGGGAAGGGGACAAGAGGAGGAGGTTTAGGGTCAGGAGGACAGGGAAGGGGTCAAGGTTGGAGCTAGGGCTGAAGGGGCAGGGCTTCCACACACCTGCTTCACCCACACGTTCGTGGTCATCATCTGATTCTTCTCATCCTAGGTCACAAAGCAAGGAGCCACACTGAGGTTCCCTCCACACATGAGGACCCTCCTGTCTGACCTGGACTTTCCTGTCCACAGCCCCAGCCTTGGGTACAAGGACTTGGTAAAGGTGTGGGCCATGCACAGTGGGTGGTGACAGTATGAAGGAGACCAAGGGGATGCGGGGACACTGTTAAGAGGCATGTACCTGGCAGAATGGCTGAGAAGTCCCCCAACTTTTCCAGAAGGAAATCAGGGGCATGGATCAGCTGACTTCCCAGGCAGCAGGCTAAGGGCGGTGTGGGAAAGGCCAGGGCTCCACTCGGCCCCTTGCAGGGGACAGCAACAGAAGGGATCCCCTCTGCAAGTATGCTCCAATATGAGCGGGGAAGGGTGGGCAGAAATCAGGCAAGGGACAACGTCCTCCACACGGCTGCCTCTCAGCTCGGGAGTCCCAGCCTTCTTCATCAGCCCCCAGACCAGACATGAGCTTCTCAGGAAAACCCTCAGCCCAGCGGAGTCTACCACGGTCAGAGAGAGCAGCATAGCATCCAGACAAGGACTGGGCCTGCTTGAGAGCACACATGAACATCTGTGCACACGTGGGTGTGGGTGTATGTGGACCGGTCATTCTGTATACATAGACATACATATAGGCATATATATTTGTGTACTGACGTGTGTGTACGCATGTGTGTGTATTTGTGCAGCTCTGTGCTCACATGTGCAAGCACATGCATGCATGCATGTCTTGTACACATGCGTGTGTGTGCACACATGTGTGTTGTGAGTCTGGCTTCAGTGCCTGCCCTCCTAGTCAGGGTTAGGAGACTGTGCCCACCAGCTTCCTTGAGCTCTGCCCTTACATCTGCTCACCAGCCACGGCCCTGGCATCATGTGCTACTTGAGGACGTGGAGGACTGAGTGACTGCAGAGCGTGAGGCCTGAGCTGGGTCACAGAATCTGAGCACCTAGATCCTGCTCAGCGAAGTCTCATGGCGCTCAAGGTGATCTGCAACAAGAACACGGCCCCAGCCAAGCCTCCAGGCCCCTCAGAACAAGCTTCAAGGCTCAGGGTTGCAGGACCTCAAACTCAGCCACTTGACCTTGTGAACCCAGGATATGCCACCAGGACTCAGCATTACAAAGGCTGAGGGATGGTCTTGTAGCTGAGGGGTGCTGACCACAGTCAGGCCATGAGTGGACGCAACAGTCACCTCTTCAATCCCTACATGACCTCATATGACTGGACATGGAGGAGGGGACAGACTGGCCCAGCACCTGCCTCTGAGCCACCAGGGGTCCAACAGAGGATGGCCTGAGAGTAGTCTGATGCCCAGCATGGGCAGCTCGGGTCATGTCCAGCGTCTAGCTCCTTGAGTCACTCACACATACAGGCTGTGTGCTTTCAGGGACAAGATCTTTGCCCATGGGGTCCTGTCCAGCTCTTCCACCCACTCCCATGCTCCCCTATTCTGTATCGGGAGCACAGGTATGCAACTGGCTTCACTGCCCTCAATCTATCACAAGTAGGCTAGTGGAAGACGGTGACTGTTAGGGTGCACGTGTGGTCTGCATGTGTGTGCACAGGCATATCTGTCTGCACTAGTGGGCAGGTGTTAGCGTGTGTGCACATATGAGCCTGTCTGTGCTAGTGTGCACTTGTGTTAGTGTGTTTGTACACATCAGCCTATCCGTGTTAGTGTGCACACACGCAGGTGTTAGTGTGTACACACACATGAGCTTGTCCGTGTTAGTGTCTGTACATGGTTCTGTTAGTGTGCATGTGTGTGCCTGCCTGTGTTAGTATGTATACTTGTGTCAGTATGCATGTACACATGTTTATGGGCATATGTATCTGTGCATGCATGTGAAAATATGTTACTGTCCCTGTGTTAGTATGCACACATGCATGTGTTGGTGTCCATGTGTGTGCAATTGAGTGTGTTAGGATGCACACTACACCTGTTTCCATGTGTTGATGTATGTTTGTGTCCAGTGTGCATCTGCATGCATGCATATTCCTTTTTTCATGTCTGCATACAAGTGTGAATATATATATGTGTGTATATGTGTGTGTATATATGTGTGTGTCTGTATGTATATATACATATTTGTTGTTGTTATGTGCCATTGAGTCGCTTGCGACTCATAGTGACCCTATGTACAAGAGCCCTAAACAGTGCTCTGTCCTGCGCCGATCTTACTATCTCAAACACACCTATCCCCATTACCCCAGTCACTGAATCGATCCATCTCATCAAGGGTCTTCCTCTCCTGCACTGTCCCTCCATCCTCCCAAGCATGAAGTCCCTCTCCAAGGACTGGTCCCTCCTTGCAACATGCCCAAAGTATGTCAGATGAAGCTTCAGAATCCCTGACTCTAAGGAGCATTCCGGCTTCACCCTCTCCAGGACAAACCTGTTTGTTCTCCTAGCAGTCCATGGTATATTCAACACTCTTCTCCAGCACCACACTATATATATATACACATACATATACATATATATACACATTATACATACATACACACACACATATATATAAAGAGTGTGTGTGTGTGTGTGTGTGTGTGTGTGTGTGTGTGTGTGTGTGTGTTGTGTCATCTTTTATGCAGAGGTACACCCAGGAGTGGCTTTGCTCTACATTGTAATGCTGTGGGTTCTTGGGCAGGCCATTCCTGGAAACTTGAGGCTGAACATTCTCTGGGCCTCAGTCTTCCAGACAGACCAGGCCCCTGGTTGGGGAGCGGGTGGAGTGGTCTGGTGTGCATCTGGAGGGGTGAGGATGCAGAGAGCAGACTAAGAACTTTGATCAGCAGCTCACGGAGCCCTGCTCTATCGGCAGCCGGTGTCTGCAAACTCAGCAGAGTTAATCAAGCCGACAAGCCCTGTACTGTCCCTGGCTGTGCCCTAGCCAGGGGCACCTACAGGAATGAGCACAGCATGTTCTAAAAGGTCTGGGGGCCAGCTCTGGTCACAGCTGACAGATGAGGCTCTGTGTTGGCCAAGTGCACACGCATCCCTGTAGGGGGTCAATGTCATATCCCCACACCTGCAAGAGCCCACAAATGTCACCCTCAGCAGAAATGGCAACATGAGCGCTATCAGCGGTCCCCCCCTAGCAAGTCCAGTGCCAGCCAGATGAAGGGCTCCTGGAAAGAGGCCCCTAGCAGGGCCCAAGTGTCCGGGCAGGGTCCTAGGAGAGCATTGAGATGGGTTTGGGAACATCCACAACTCCTCCTGGCCCCAGGACCCTGGGATGGGGCAGCAGCCCTGAGCTGGCAGCTCCCAGTGTGGAAAACCCAGGTCTTTCTGAGCTCACAGCCCATCAGTGTCCCTGGCAAGAGGCCGCTCCCTTCCCTGCTGCCTGGGAATCACTCAGACTCAGGCTGCTTCCTGCCCAGATGGAGCTCAAGCTCAAGGCTAGGACTCTGTACTGCAGGGACCTCAGAGCAGTGTCCTGCTCCTGGCTGTGCCTGGCAGACCCTCCACAACTGGGGCAACTATTGTCTGCTGCCCCCTCTGGCCCTTCTGGGCCCAGGGAATGATCCAGTCTCTGCTCAAATCTGATCAGGTTCAGGCTCAAGAGCCCACTATGCTCAAGGCCCACCATTCTGTGGCTAGTACTCAGAGGCAGGGATCCCCACCCCAGCCCAAGGGGCTTCTTAGCCCTTGCCCAGTATAGACAGCAGACCTCCCAGCAACCTCCTCGCTCCTCATCACAAAGGCAGACAGCCCACCTGAGCCACACCAGACCCACATAGAGACATCGGGAGCGGATGGTGGCATCACCCAAGGCCTGCCCCTGGCCACTCAGCATTATTTGCACTAACACTCTGGCTGTGGCACCACACAGGTCACTCTCAGGGCTCGCCTCTTGTTTCTGGAGGCTGCAGTTCTGGCCGACTGATGACCTGTAACCTGAGTGCTTCCATAGAGAGGGAAGAGGGGACTGGCCCCACTCATGGAAGCTGGCTGTCCTGGAGTCTGGGCCACAGGGCAGCAGAGGAGGCAGCCCTGGGACTGAACAGCCTGGGGAGATGACAGCAGTGGTCCTTCTGCTCCTCTGTAGATGCCCTGTCAGCCTAGGCCACCTGCCAGGCCTCCTCTGGCCACTTCTTAAGGTCCATCAGACTTACCACATCGATGAGCTGGGCGATAGACAGGCCAAAGCGGACCAGGACCACATCTGAGATGTTGGCCACAGGCCGGGACCACTTGTTGTAGCCAGAGAAGAGTTTCCGCAGCAGTCTCTCCTCGGCATGGGCCCTGGTCTCCACATGGCTGTGAGCTGGAGGTGAGGATGTGGGCTCAGGCACTCATGGCCCTCAGACTCCCCTCTATACTCCTGCCTCAAGCCCTTTGCACATGCCACCCTATCTTCTCACTCTTCTACACTCAACCTGCTCCAACCCTTTAGGATCAAGGCAATTTCCTGGGGAGCAGGATCGACCCAGACCCTCACTTGACCTTCCCCTCCCACTTCTCCTCAGGCCTGTACACACCTCCGAGGAGGAAGAGCATCCCTGGCCTGCCAGCTGAGGGGTGTCTGTAAGCCCGTAAGTGACCTCTGACTCTCAAACCTCCCTTGCAGGAGCCCCCCAGCTATCCTCTCTGCCTGAGGAGGAGGGAGCAAAATCTTGAATGGAAGCTAGGTGAGGAGGGTAAGTGGGATCAAGGAGGGAGAGCCTGGGGGAGTATGGAGCGCAGGAGAGAAGGATTGGGGCCAAGGGCAAGAATCCCTTCCCTGAGGTGCGTGGAGGGAGAGCAGGTATCGTAATGAGCATCCCCCTTCTGCCAGGGAAGCCAGAGCCAAGAGCAAGCCCCTAACACAGAGCAGGCATGGGGGAGGGGTTTGTAGGGCGATCTGGCTGGCTGGGGGCTTGGCAAAAGGCACCCCGCCTCTGCTAAGTTTCCCAGCCAGAAGTCCCACCACCGCCCACCTGGGTCCCTCCCTGCGCCCACAGCGGGTTTAACCCCTTCATCGCAGGCCCAGCCCCACCCCGCCCGCAGTGGGACAGCCAGTGCGTTTCAAAGCGGGGAGTCTCGTGGCCGCCCCGTTGCGCGCACCCGAGGCTTGGGACCGTGGCCAGGATCTTTCTCTCCTATGGCTTCGGGGATCTGGGCTGGCTGCACCGGGCGAAAGGGGCCCCGCCAGCGCCCCGCGACTTACCTGGCAGGAGGCTAGCTCCAAGCAGCAGCAGCAGCAGCGGTGGTGGTGGCGGTGCTCCGGGGATCCCGGGCTCCATGGTGCACCCGGTGGCTCTGGACACGGGTGGCTTCCGCCTCCACCGCACCCCTGCTCCAAGGCCTTTGCGCCCCCAACTTCCAGCTCTCGCCCCGCGGCCGCTCTGCCCCACCTCTCGGCCGCCCCTCCGCAGAGCGCGGCTCTAGGGCCGGAGTAACGCGCCGTGGGCTGGCGCAGCCCCTCCAGGACGTGCCGGCTCCAGCCCGTCAGGGAGGAGCGACGGGGGAGGTGGACAGGAGCGACAGGAGGAGGGCGGGGAGGGAGGGCGGGGGAGGGAGGGAGAAGAGCGAAAGGGGGACGACCAGGCGCGGGGGTCACTGAGGCTGTGATGCGCCCTGCTAGTTTGGGGTAAAGTGTCCCACGTCCCCCAGGGGAACGTGCGGACCCTGTACGAGGACCCGGCAGTGGGTAACTGTGTAACTGGGAACTCCAGGCTGGCCTCGCTGCGGGGTGGAAAGACAGACACCCCCTCGCGCGCCCCCAGCCCACTGTAGCAGGAATCTCCTCCTGCGCTGCCTGGGGGCGAGGCTGCCTGGGGCCTGGGGAGGAGTCGGAGAGCAGCCTTGCCCCACTGCACCAACGCCAACCCCTGCTGACGTTGGTTTGGGAATCCCGGTTCCTGGTCTTCCTCCACAGCCAGATGTTCAAGGAAGAGCTGCCCCACCCCATGGTCTGTTCTCTGCGAACCGACCACAGGGCAGCCTGTGGGAGAAGCCCACCCTCTTTCACAGGGTCAATGTCGGGCGATGGGCCCGTGAGGCAACACACCACCATCCCTCACTGCCAGCCTTGGAGGTCGTGGCCATGTCCCCTCCAGAGGCTCTGCCCTCACGTCGTGTGCAGTGACTGCTGGGCATTTGGTAGGTGGTCAGGGAGAAGGTGCGCACAGGCAGTGGTCAGCCAGGCTCTGGCCAGGGCCTCAGCCTCCAAGCCCATGCTTCAGAGAAAGGGACTGGCAGAGCCATCTCCCAGCTCTCCCAGGATCCCATGACTCAGGATCCCTTCAAGCCCCTTTTCCTCCTCAGTGTACCCCTCCCCCCCTTGGGAATACCAAATATCCTCTAGAGCTACTTAGCCCAGCACTCTGTCCGGGAGCATGAGACACCAGGCCCAGACTGGTTATTTTATCAAAGACCCGTGGGCAAGTTTGCTTCGCCTCCAGCTCCTTCCAGCAGCGTGGACCTGGCCATACTGACCATACTGGCCATACTAGGTTGCACCTAGTGTTTGGAGACTTGGTTTAAACAGCCTGTGAGAGGCCTTTACCAGACTTGGGACAGCAAGAGGGAGATTGTGAAGCCAGCAGTGGTGTAGGTAGAGATTCTGGAAGGTTTTGAGCCTGGCTCTTTCCTCCCAAATTGTGGAGACCCAGGAGGCAGGGTAAGTACTGGTCACTTCCAGATCAGACAGCTGCTTGTGGTTTCCTGCTTGGATGAGAAATGTCCTGCCCCTCTGAGAGACATACAAAGCCGTATCTATGTTCCTTTCTCACTGATGCCTGTATAGCAGGCCTGTCCTGTCAACCAGCTGGTGTCACCTTGAGAATCAGATGAGAAGACCCCTTCACCTCTGCCTTTAGGGCTCCATCTCACCCTTGGGACCTCTCACAGCCATCCTCCTTGGGTGCTTGGCTGAAGTCAGGATGTGGAGAGCTCATAGTCAGCTGGGCCAATCCAGAATCCTCCCAGAGGGGGCAGCCCACAAGCACACAAATACACACACACACACACACACACACACACACACACGGTGGGGGGAGAGCAAGTGAGCGAGTGCTGGGTCTGCTGACCACTTGGAGCTGACCTAGTGAATGGCAGAGTGTCCCAGGGTGTTTGCAAGGAAGTGTCTCAAAGTGGGGCTTATATCACAGACCCCTGTTGTCTCCCTGCTCTGTACTCAGGGTTCCAGCAGGGCTCTGAGCACATCCTGCCTTGTCTTCCTTGGCCTCTGGTGGCCCTAGCTGTCCTTGGCTTGTGGCTGCATCCCTGCCCCCACAGTCAGACATCTCCTATGTCTGCAGTTTGCTCTACGCTCCTTACAAGGACATCACTAACAGGATTGGGACTTCAGCAGAACCTCACATGAATGAATTCCATCTGCAAAGGCCCTATTTCCAAGCCAGCTCTCATCCACAAAGCAGGGACAGGACTCGAGCAGATCTTTTGGAAGACACAGTTCATCCATAACCCCATCCACCCCACCTGGAGGGCCGAGTCAGTCTGTGGTGAGGCCGGAAATCCATCTTTTCTAACACACCTGCACACAACACTTCCTATGCCAGAGGAGTCCTAAACCAGACTTAGGGCCTAATCAGCGGATGACTGATGACAAGGGTTAGGCCAGGGGTCCCCCAGCCGAAGCCTCATGGGACTGGCAGCCTGGCTGGGCTTTCGGAGACCTGGCCCCAGGAGGCCCATCTGTCCACAGCTGCAGCAGGTTCACAGACTCAGCTGGCTCTGCCTTCTCTGTCTTCCTCCCCACCCCCTTCTCATCACTTTTCCAATAACAAGAAAAGCTCAAATCAGGCCACTGGCCATCGTGCAGAGAGTCCCCAAGAGCCGAGCCCAGCCCAGCCCACAGGCCCATCCCCTAGCCCTGAGACTGGCTGGGTCAGCCGGGGCCCAGGGCCCTGCGTGCACAGCCTCACACACATCTGCGCCAGGCTGGCCTCCCCTGTGGGTTGCTAATGCAAGGAGATTAATCCGGTCTAACTCATTAATTTGCACAGCCCCACCCTCCCCACCTGCGCTTGGCTGGAAGTGCTAGATTTAGGAAGTAATCACCCTCAACTGCTGAAGCAGACTCTTACTGCAACTCCTGAGGGCCCCCAGCCCCATCTCCTGAGAAGGGCTAAAGCAGAGAGATCCCTATTCCCATGCCAGTGAGGCCTGTATCCCAAATACCAAGGCCTTTGTGCTGGTGTGCAGGAGTGGGGGTTGGGGGACAGGCTGCTGCACCCCCTGCTCCCCCCCAGTCAATGTCATAGCTAGCTACCTGAGTGTTATTACTGCAGTGTGCCGAGGGACCCTCCCTCCCCTTGCTCTGCCCTGTCCGCCCTCTACCCTGTCCCAAGGACATTTCTATGGTAACCAGTTGTTGGTGCTAACAGGGATTCTATCAAACGTGGGGGCGATGGCCTGGTGTGCAGTCTGAGCTGTGAGAGTAGGGGAGGGAGAGGGGAGAGGAATGGAGAGGAGGGAACCGTGGTCTGTGGCTGAGAAAGTCAAGTAAGAGAGAGATAGTGAGAGGCACAGCCTCAGGGTTAGCTAAAGGCCAGGCAAGGGGCCATCAGCACCTGTGTGCTGCCCAGGGCACATGCTACTGGGCTAGACCAGCCTGGATCCTTCACATATTTTTCTGTTGATTCACTCATACTAGAATGCACTCTGAGCCCCTCCAACCCTTTACTCAAGCCTTGTCCACAGAGGGGGACAATCCTTTTGTCTCTTCTCTGCCAAGACACCACTCCCTCCCAGGTGACATGGGCCTGATGGACCTCGGCTTCTTTCCAGGATCAGCCACTGCCAGCCCTTTAAAAGCCAACTGTCCTGAGAGGAAGGTCCTGGATCCTCAGTGTCTCAAGGAGTTTTTATCTTCCACCTCCGCACTTCTGCCTCAGTCATCTTGTTTGCCTTTAGTATTTTCACCAGTGGATGTCGTTCGTTGGCCTCTTGCCTCCAGAATGTGAGACCATGGGGAGATGCAGACATGAATCATAATGCCTCCTCTTAGCAAGGATTCAATGCTTGTGTTGAATGCACAGATGGGTGAATGGATGGGATGATGGGTAAATGGATAAATGGCTGGCTGGCTGGGTAGGTGGGTAGATGGGTGAATAGATGGGTGAGTAGATGGATGGGTGGCTGGCTAGATAGGTGAAAGAATGAGAGACTTTTCATGATGCTTTACATGTTGTTGTTGTTTTATGTGTTATTGAATTGACCATGACCCATAGCAACCCTATGAACAATGCCCTATCCTGAGCCAGCCTCGCCATCTCTGACATACCTGGCCCATTGCCAGTCACAGTGTCAATACATCTCTTCCAGCCCTCCTCTTCTGCACTTCCTCTCTACCCTTTCAAGCATGATGTCCTTCTCTAAGGAATGACCCTTCCTGGTGACATGTCCAAAGTCTATGAAAAAGATTCAAAATCCTTGCTTCCATCAAACTGATTTCACCTTTCCCAGGACAGACCCATTTGTTCTCTTGGCAATCCATAATATGTTCAGTAAATATACTGAATGCATAGATCAATAAATGGATGGATGGATGGGTGAGTGGGTAGATGTGTGGATGGTGAATAGGATGGTCAGTGGATGGGTCGGTGAATGGTGGATGGATAGATAGATGGATGATGAATGGATGCGTAAGTGGATAGGTGGGTGCTGGTGGATGGATACATGGGTAGACGGTGAATGGAAAGGTAAGTGGATGGGTGGGTGGGTGGTGGATGGATAGATGGGTAGATAGTGAATGGATAGTATATGGGCGGGTGGGTGGATGGTGGGTAGATAGATGGGTGAATGGTGCACAGACGGGTGTATGGATAGATGGGTGGGTGGATAGATGGGTGGATGATGAATAGACGGGTGTATTGATGATGGGTGGGTGGGATGGAGAGTGGATAGATGGGTGGATGGTGAATGGATGAGTAAGTGGATGGGTGGGTGAATGGGGGTAGATGGATGGGTGGGTGGTGTATGGATGGGTGTATGGATAGATGGGTGGGTGGGATGGTTGGTGGATAGAAGGGTGGATGGATGGCTGACTGAGGGGAGATTGAGTAGAGAGTGGGATGCTGTCCTGCTGCTATCTCTCACTTGGATACGCAGGAGGAGAGAACACACAGTCTTGAGATGGAGCTTTAGTGTATGGGCAGGCAATAGGAGAGTGACAATACTCAGAAGAGGGAAAAGAGCCTGGAGGACAGGCAGGAGAAAGGATGCTGGCCTGGGACCAGCTCAAAGCTGTCCATTTCACCTCATTGATTTCCCTGTC